TGATGAGTGGTGTATGATGAGTGGTGGTTGAACAGCTGTTGAATGTCCGTAACACGGAAGTTTTGCACACTAAACTTCCTTTGATAACATAACGCACACATACGCAAACAATAGGTGATCTGGAAAACATAGGTTAAAACACACACACACACAACAAAAAGAGGTTATATATTTATATGATACGTACATATTTGTTCCGCAGTTCATTATATATACTAATATATTTGTTCCGCTGTATATATATATACATATATTGTTACTTATTTTTAATACCTTTTCACTGCTTTGTGTTGACTCCTTTTCTTTTAAGCCTTTTGCTCACTCTTTTTGCATTTTTTCACCTTTGTCCAAACACATGTTTTTTCCATCTTTATTTCACTTTTCAAGCGTTTCCTAAGCGCCACTATTATTTTTTTAAATATAGGAAACTGTTTCACAGCCATAGTGGGGACACATTTCGTGCCATTCATCCTTAATCCCCAACATGTTGATACCGAAGATGACACTTGTGCAGGTGGGTGACAAGCCGTTGGAGGCTTCCATGCTGTGTATCTCCGCGGAGGTGAACATGGCTGGGTGCCTAAAGAATCATTGGTCCAGTCCAGAGATGCTCAAAAAGAGGCCAAACCAAGCCTAGTTTCTAAATTGAAATGTCGGCCATTCATCATGTTTTGCAACATTCTTCAAGTCTTAAAACACTGCAACATGTGTTGATCAACGATCAACCCAACACTGGATTTGGTTGCCCCCCCCGTAGCATGACCTGATCACTGACCATTACGTGCACCGACTGAGATACCATCAGCAACATCTATACAAAATATATCCGGACAGACAACAAAAAGTTCCAGGGGATGGGACACAAAACAATTGCACACATTTCTTCCATTTCCCATGCGGACCGGAAGTCACAGTCTGGCGTTGCCACACGGTTGGTACTGTTGACTTCCTCTCTTGCAGAACGTGTGCCCGGTGCATGCTCAGGCTCACAACTCAAAGCGCTCAAGACCCCAGTGTTTGAGGGAAGGCCTCAAGCATAATTCTCCGTTCCATAGGTCTGTCAGAGCCTCAAGAAAGTGGATGTAGGTGTAGGCATGTAGACGTCATCCAAGGACCGCCACAAGGCCATTACTGCTTCCCACAGAGCCGGCTCACGGTGGGCGAAGCCGAGGGCATTTGGAGCCTCCTCTGCAGGCTCCGGCCGATGAGCAGCTGGCAGACCCGGCGCATCCTCCAAGGCATCTTCAGGAGCTTCAGCGAAGGAGGGAGTAGCAGTCACTTCTGGTTGCCAAGACTCCATGCGAAACAGCATGTTTGCTGGCACGAGCCACAAAGGAACGAATAGATACGATGATGAAAAGAGCATAAAAAGAGCTCCGTTATCCGTTTTTTCACCAGACCGAGTTCCTGGTCATGTCGAAGACAGACCTCAATCTTCGTTCCGCATGAGCGAATGATGTGCTCGCGTGAAAACAACAGTGACTTGGCCTTTGTGGCCACTCTTGAAAATTCCTGGTAGCGGAGCAAGAGTTGAGTCGAGCCCCTTGCCAAACGCAGTGGAGGCAGGTGAGGGAGATGCCCCCCTCTTGGAAGACGAAGCTGCCCTGGGTCATTGTTGCATTCAAGCTTTTGTTGTGCCTTAGGCCTTATTGCAATAACTGCCAGGAGTTTGGCGAGGTGATCCAAGGTTTCTGTTTGCTTGTGGAGGCTTCCTCTGACTCTTCCTTTGTCTAGTACAGAGTTGTCTTCACACTTGTAACGAATGCCATGTATTCCGCAAACTGAACACCCCCCTGTGGTTTGATTTCATCTTTGGAGACTCTGTATATTGTGGAAGGTAGCTGGAGATTCCACTGATTGCGCGTTTAGATGCTGAGCAAGTGCCTCTTGATTGGAGTGCCATGCAGACATGCAACTATGACGCTTGAGGTCTCGGATGGCAGTGGAGGTGAAAGTCTTGTCTAAGTCTTGCCGAAGGAGATACTGTACAGCATGAGATTGGGAGCGTCGCTAACGACTGAGAACCTGCCAAAAACTTGAGCAGGGCATCATCAAAGCATGACCGTGACATCATCAACACACGACCGGCACACGCGCCCAACAGCATAGTACAATGCGTCTTTTGATATACTTTGTCAGGTTTGAGCTGGTGGCACTGATGCCATCCTTTGCACTTGCAACTAAGTGTGCGTTGTCTCATGAAGAGTCACACGACACGCTTCGCGTGGCTTTTACGAGTGCTAGCCTGCCTTTTCTGCAGCGATCACGTGCTGACTTTGGGCCCGGCAATCAAAACCACCGAATGCATGTACGCAAATCTGTTCGCAGTGTGCAAGCGATGGCGTCCACTACGTTTGCTCTACTGCATCAACTTGTGGTTTGTGTAGAGCGTCGGGTAAGAAGAACATGAGGGGGGATTGTGGGAGGGAAGAGACATTTTGTGGTCGGCTTTTCCACGTGCATTAAGGCGGAGAACTACATGGGCAAGGCTAGCGAGCAAGCTAAGCAGGCGAGTGACACAGAGCGTGGTCACGTGACAGCAGAGGGCTTTTGTTATCTTTTGTCCAGCGCAGAAAAACTGGTGAAAAAGGGAAAGTAGCTCCGTCCACTTGTGGAGGCCTTGGCAATCTTCCGCGATGTGCGAGATGCTGAGGGCGAGGAGTGGTGTTGCGAAGAGTGCTCCCAAGATGCACCAAAAATATTCTGGGCACTTTGTAGACACTAGGGGTAAAAGACAGCACTGGCAAGGGAGTGATTCCCTGTAATGAGTACTCGACCTGCTTGCGGGCCTGTTAGCAGTTTTGGGTTTGTAATTTGTAGCATATTGAGTGGGTGTTGCTTCATCAGCGCAAACGTAGTTACAGAATGTTACAGAATTGGCTAGAACAGAAGTGAACCCTGATGGAAACGATTCCATGTTGTCCTGCCCATTTGCTTGCTGCTTTGTGCTTTGGTTTCTTTCAACTTCGAATCCTGAGGGCCTGAGGGCCTTTCAACCTTTTAATGTTTGGTTTGAGATTTCAGTTTCATAGATCTCAACACGTCCAAAGCTGCCACGTGCTGTTCAACGGCTTCAACGCGGTATTGGGTGCGAGGAGTATGCAAAGAGCATCCTCGACCAAATGTATGGCACATCTCGAGGGGGTGCTGCTCCGGCCTGCGACTCAGTTCAGCTAATCCAACTCTAGCCTCAACAGGGAGAGCAGTCTTGATTATTTCATAACTTCTTTTTCTACCTCCCCAATTGCGTCTATATAATTGTTCCTTCTCATTAGTCTCCTTGGGTTGAACCATATATATATATATATCCATATATTTTATATATAGTATAATTTTGATTATTAATAATTGCTTTGTCAAGGCCCCTGGTGCTGCTGCTGCAACTCCAGCATGGGAAGCAGCCCCAATGGCAGCGTCATCTGCCGCGACAGCAGTATCTACTGGGCCCACACGGGACTGGGCTCTGCGTCACTCTTACGATTCCAGCGACTCTGAGAAATGATCTTTCTCTTCTTGCATTTTTCTAGCGCAAGCGTTTATCCACTGATTCCTTGCATACCTTAGTCTTGCACATGCAGGAGTTTATCATGGAGGGCCTGAGGAATCTGTCCAAAAACATTGTCGGCGATGACATCGAGGCCCTTTGATCGAGTTGCCAATCAGATGTTTTGCTTGTTTGGCATTTGTGATTGATGTTGTTGCGTGTTTCTTGCCACGTACTTCCTGCCCTGAGATGGATTCTCCTTTGATGGAAGCGGGTATGGACAGCTTGAGCAGCGTGGAGTTCCGCAATCAGGCAAGCAGCTAGCGGCTAGCGATCAAGAAGAGCTTTTGCAGCGACGGTTAAAGCTGCAATTCAAGGTCTTGCTCACAGATGTTCAATTTTGGGTGTTTTCTTTTTTTTCTAAAATCCAGTGAACCACCGTTTTGTCATTGGTTTCTAGACCAACATTCTCCGTGTAAAACACAAAAAAAACACTGGGCACCGTCAGCGTCCAACGGCCCGGCCCGGCGGTGGGAGTCGACCGCCGTTCACCTCTGAGGTGCGAAATTTGGTTCCCGGCATCAACCTTCCAGCGTCCATGGTCTTCGACTACCCGCTTCTTGGACGCTACTAGGGGCTCCTGGCATCGCTACTAGGAGCAAGAACGCTACTACGGGCTCCTGGCCGTACTACTAGGAACAAGAAGCTATTAGAAACAATAATTAGTAAAGACGGACGAGGCAAAGACCCGCACGATTAAGACGTAGACGTCGACGGACTGAAGGCACGTTGGAGCAGGAGTTGTTTCTTCCCCACCTGTCAGGTGAGGGTTGCTATGTTTTTAAAAAAGGATTCTCCTTCCTTCCTTCCTTCCTTCCTTCCTTCCTTCCTTCCTTCCTTCCTCCACCGCCCCGGACCTCAACAGCAAACGCCAGACCACAGTGGGCAGTCTCAAACCTCAACAGCAAGCTCCAGATGGCAGTGGGCACTTCCGGACCTCAACAGCAAGCGCCAGATCGCAGTGAGCACTCGCATTTACAAGCACAACCACAAGCACACAACACACAATACACAACCGGACCACAAACACAGCCACAAACGTAAACACAAAAGTGCAACACACAACCACAAACACAATCACAAGCACAGCCACACACACAACCACAACACACCCTCACAAACACACGACCAGGAGCACAACCACAGACACAATCACAAACACACACACACACACAACCGCAAGCACACAACCACAACACACCATCGCAAACACACGACCAGAAACACAGCCACAAGCACACAATCACAAGCACGCAGCAACATACACACAACCACAAGCACGCAACCACAAGCACAAGCACAAACACACAGCCACAAGCACAACCACAAACACGCAATGACAAACACACAGCAGACAACCACAAATACAGCCGCAAACACACAGTCACAAACACACAACCACAAACACATAACCACAAGGACAGCCACAACAATATATATATATACATACATACTTACCTGCTTGTGTGTGTGTGTGCCATTTTGCGTGGAAGGTGATCACAGGGTAGCTTTTTTGGATGCCAGCTGGAGACCCTCACACCACCCCGGCGCGAACTCCCTAACACTAAAATAACAATCCAAAGCCCGAAAACCCACAAGCAAAGCCGAAAGCCAGAAAACCCACGACCATGGAACGAAATGATTGAAATTGAAATGTCATGGTGGGGCTCACTCGGAGTAAAGTACTGTAGTTTTTTCGTGCTCGAAAGGTGTGTAGACTGTAGGCTGAATGTGTTGCCGACGATTGGCTGGCGTTACTCCAGTGTTGGCTTCTGCCCCAAGGAGTCTGAAGTCCATGACCGACTTCATTCACACCAAAACCTCTGAGATGTGATGGGCGTGCTTTTCCGACACCGAGAGCAGGTGAACTGACGAACATCAATCCTACGGCAAAGCAAGAAATGCAAGTGCCTGTAGCTGCACCAACCATGACAAGCTTAAAAATGAATAATTTATCCTCTTCAAATTGATTGTGCAAGATCAAGGTTCGACCTACCTGGACCTATGCACGCGTCACTCTGTATAAAAGTTTTTTTAGCAGTCATTTCCAGGTGCTTCGGCTGGTGGTGCCACTGGCAACCGAGCAATCGTGTTCCAGACTTTCTTTCAGCAAACAACTAGGTTTTGTCATTGGAGGACCTAATTGGAGCGAAATGGTTCGCCCAAGATCAGATAGTGGATGTGTACCTTCATTTATAGACTAGACCGTTGCTATTTTCCAGGCATCTTGCGAATATCCAGGGCTGAACTCAAACAAGTGGCAGCATGAAACCTTGCTTGCTTGTGCCAGGAGGCTGGTAGGCGTCTCCAACTCCAAAAATTTACTCTAGCATTTGTATGACTCATCTCTCAGGATGTTCAGCTCTAAAATTTTGATATTACCATGATGAGAGATGAGTGAGGAGCGAGTTGTTGAAGCACATGGGAGGAGGTGTTTGAGAGGAGGAGGTGTTTGAAATCCATAGTCTCGACGCCGCGCCTGTACTCTTTGTGTGAGGCTTTGAGTTTTGATACAAAACTAAACAGACGTGCATTTGCTGGGCGGTATGTGTTTTGCTTTGCCACATGCAGAATGGCCCGTTCTTTCTCTCATGTGCTTGCTAGCGTCGGACGCTTCGGAAGGGGCTGCAAACTGCTGCTCATAGCGCTCTTCCCTGCAGAAAAGAGACCGGTTTCTCAGTAGATGAGATGGGTCTTTCCCGTCAGTTGCGTAATTAACTCCTATGTGGTCGAACGTAGCAAGATGATGAAAGATGTGGACATGTGGGCACATTCTACCGAGCCCTGGACGTACTTGTTTCATTTGCACACTTCTTGATCCAATTCTTGATGAGAGAGCCAGGTTTCCCCTCGAAAGTGTGCGCATTCACTGTTCGGGGTGATGACAGCACAATACAAGTACACAATACTTGGAAGAGTGATTGACAAGAGTCGAGATACAGTATATACTACTTTCAGTCTGTGGATGTCTGAGACCAGGGTGCGCATTTCTATTTCTTATGGACACGTGCAGCGAAGTTTTACGTTGTGGAGTTGACAGATAGCTTCATGGGCAGCCCAATAGGAGAGACTCGTACCCTTACTACGAAACCTGAGACATTGCGGGCACTGGGGAATTTCAGGGTCAGCCAGAGAGCACTCCTTTTCAAGTGTACACTCAGAATCTCTTGCCATTTGCTTCGGGAGTAAGAATTGTTCTTAGAGCTGTGAGTAGTTATCCGGGTGCCCGGACAGGATCCTGCGATGAAAACCTTTGTCGACGAATGCATGTCCAGCTTGGGCGCTGTCGGGACAACTCGGATTGAAACAGGCAGACGACCACCCTTGAGAAGTGTTCCAAGTCCATGGCAATACCCGAAAAGCAGCGAGGATTTGAGTAACGCTAAGCATTATTGGAGATGTTGTGTTGTGACCATGTGTGACCTATCTATCTAACGGCCCCACGATCGAAGCATTCTTTCTGTAGCATGGCCTCAATGTCACATGAGGCGATGGATCAAGTCGTGGGCGCGACAGCTGTCTGGAGCCTGAGCTCAAAGCAGCGAGACGAGCGAGGGTTTAGACACAAACATGTTCCACAACCATGTGCAAGTTGTTGAGATGGCCATGCAAAGTGCCCTCTTGAAGCTGTGAACCAATTCTTTTGAACATAGTGGCCAGTCTGCTTTCTGCAAGGGTTGCAGGTGGCCAGTCTGACCAGTCGCATCATCCAAGCTTTGACCCGACTGGCTGAGCCAAGAGGTGTACGTACTGGGTACCTGGGTTAAGTCGTCTGGTCTTGTAGAACGTCGTCGGGATGCTGCATTTCCATTGGGGTTAGATGCAAGATGGCAATATAACTGGAAGAGTATGAGTATCAGGTCAGAAACATTGTTTGGATGCTGCATGTTCTTAGGTATGTTTAGGATTGTTTAGGTGCAAGATGGCAATATAATTGGAAGATAAGCTTTTGGAGTATCAGTTTAACACCATTGACTTCTTGATGTACAGAAGTTTTGGCAAACATACTTCCGTAGAGCGTTCCACGCTATTTTAACATAGACTGGGTAATTTTTTGCACGCCTGGTGACTTTTGACTAGTGCTGCGTTTCCATGCGGCCGGGTGACTTTTTGCAAACCCGGGTGACTAAACCCCGACGCCTGTAGAACAAGCAAAGCAGCCACCTACGGAGTCATGCTTAGAGCAATCACCCAAGGAAACACTTTTGTAGGTGGAGAAGGAACGAGAGGGCGTGCAAAAGTGAAACTGAGGCACGTTCAAAATTATTACAATTATTGTAAAGGCAGCTCGTTTTGGATGTCCCGTTGATTTGTGCAAGTGCTCAAAACCCTGCAGAACGTTAGGGGACACGAAAACCGATAACCTATGTTTGTGACTTACTATACGTCTTGAATTACTTGTGGCCGTGCGTAAGCGTGAACGATAACCAGAACGACAAACAAACGACAACGAGAACCCCCAGTTATGCTAGGGGGATGCTCGGGAAACGACTCCCCCAGCTATAGGCCGGAAGACTCGTTCAAGATCTCTTTACAGTGGCATTCTAGGAAGAGTGTGCATGGGATGCATCCCTCGGTTGCGCAAGAGGGTGGATAGTTCCCACTATATTAGTCTTTTTATTGTATCCTCTGCTTGCACAAAATGTGGACTGGCTGTGCTAGCTAATTTGTGCACCAACTTTCTGCCGGAATCTGTCCGACAGGTTGAGCTGGATTCTCGCTTCGCATCCATCCGGACTCAGGAGCTGGCTCAGACAGAGATTCCAACTGGGTAGCTTTCCAACTGATGCGCTCAGGTTTGGTATTCCTCTTCTTTCGTGTGCAATGATGTAGCAGGGAACTAGATCATTTGGCTTGCAACGTGAGCTCGGATGTCAGGAGACAAACATTGGCAACTTTGTCACCGATGTCATGAGACATGCCATGAAGGCTGGCGTACTGTAAATAAGTTTATGTAACCCGCCGTGCTGAAGAAACAGATGAAACGGGGCATGTGATTCGTGATTCGCCGCATGTTGAGGCATCCTAAGTCCCTTTGTTTGTCGGCTGGACTTGATTGTAGTATATACTCTTCTGCAGTGAAGCTGTAGACTACACAGGAATCTATACCATTGACTTTTGGATCATTTTTCAAGAGAAAAGTAGCGAGTAGCAGAGGAGTCAAGCAGGCAGATTGTGCTCTGTGTCGCTTTGCTAGGCGGATGTGGCCATGTTGAATAGTGGCACCCTCCGTGCGGATTCGATCATCGAGAAAGGCAGAGATTGGCAATTGGTGATGGTTATAAAACGATGCTGAAATCCAATGGTGCATGATTGTTAACATAATTGTGGGCATGCAATGTGGTACCCCCTCTTCAAGTACCCCACTTGATCATGTAATGTATTGGAGGAAGAATGACATCAACGCCCACAAGTTGATTTTTTAATCCTGCTTTCTCATGGAAGAGCAATCGGATGCAATAGAGTGCTAGACTTGCTAGACTGTTGAGTGGTGTATCGTCACTTCACATCACCGCTTCCGCAAGAGGCGACATCAAAGTGAGGGATTTGGTGAACTTGCTTCCGATGTTGGATGAGCTTTGCCTGCTGCAGCTCACTGGCGCTCAGGCACCTTCGCATTTACCAAAAGGTACAACCTTCAAGTCAATTTGCGTGCGCAAGTCCGCTAACTGACTAAAGAGACCTTTACACATCGCCTTTTAATGGAAAACTGGCTTCTTGGTCTGCATGTTTAGAAAGAAGCACTGAATATAGAACGAACATAGAACGGGTCACTGGATATGAACGGGTGGAGTGACCCACGCCCGTTTCGCAGGTGCTGGAGGCCTTGGAGAATTCCGTTTCGCAGTACCCACGCCTTGAGGGTCGTTTTGCCCAGGCGTGCGAGGGTCGTTTGGCTTGGAAACTGAAGGCCTTGTACTAGCTTCTTGTTACTACTAGTAAGGCACTTGTTACTACTAGCGATGCACCTGTTACTACTAGCTTCTTCTTACTACTAATTGAAGACTGATTGAAAAGGATCTGTAGCATCTTCTCCAGTAACTCTACGTAGTTAACCGTAGTTACAGTATCCTATTCTGATCATTTCTTTTCACTCAGTGGAGTCACAGGTCAGCGGAGTCACATTCAGCTTTGATGCAGCAAAGCCTGCGAATGCAAGAATAGATGAGACAACCGTCAAGCAGGGTGGCCCAGGTGGCGAGCTTGGCAACTCGCCACATTCGGAAGACTTTGTTTGGCCATTGTTAATCGAGCAAAGGATATATTTCCTGCTGCCCTGGTGTTTGAAGATTGTAGATCACTACATAGTAGGTCTTTCCAGTGCCACTTAGACTTGTATAACTTTTATAGCCTGCACCACTTACCCACTCTCGCTGGTTCATTTGCACTCCTAACTTCTCACCTGATTCAGCTGTGCGAACGTCGCATCATGGATGCGGCTAGGATTGGTGGTGAGCCAATGCAAAAAGAAAAAAACTACAAGCTTTGCACAAAGGACCCTGCAAACATCTGCAAACCAAACCGAGACAGATGCATTTGGTCGGAAACAGTTCTAGCTTCCATTGGAATTCACATCCAGCATTTGCAGCCAATGGTAGCGATGTCGAGTCGTGAAGCATCTTCATGCACAAATATTGACGCCATGGGCTGCTTGAAGTTCTCTTTGATTGACGGTACAATAATGTTCAGACTCTAGTCCGTTGTGGCCGAATGCATGGATCAGCAGGACTATTTGCGGCAGGGCAAAGACGGCTATGACGTCTTCAGGGATGGCATTTGTGGGTGTCCTAGCTGGCAGAATCACAGGCCTAATCTAGCGGCCAAATGTTTGGAGTCAGCATTTCAAGTTGATACTTTTGTATGATGCTTGATTGGAAAGGTTCACATTTGTCCACGTCCAAGACAAGAGCTTCTTGAGTCGCCATTCTGCTTGTGAAGGCTTAGCAGATGGAGAGCAAGCAGGGATCCTGCCATCTTTGGTGCTGCGCTCAACACAACACCTCTACACGCCAGCCGGGGGTTGGATCACAGCAATGAAAGCAATGAAACCTTCCGAACCAATCCGAGCCATCGGCTTTTCAGCAAATCACGGCAGATTAGGCCCTGAGAATTTCAGGACAGACTCGGCCCAAGCGCATGCCTATGCCAGACTCTGGCGACGCCGTCTGGCGACTCTAGCTAGAAGACTTCGTTGGAAGTTTTCTGAGCAGCAGACGGTGCTTCTCTGAGAGTCAATCCTCAAAACAGTTGTCAGGTGAGGGACTGCTTTGCCAGCTTAGACCTGCTCAATGGGTGCCTCAGCTGGTCTAAGCCGTTGTGTATTTGTCAACAAAAGCTGACCACCTGATTTTTGTTGCCGTGTATCTCTTGATGATGTGTTTTTTAAAATTCTCAGATTGATGTCGAAGTTCAAGAGACTCATGGAGAACGAGTCTCTCTGCGCCCAAGGGAAAGTGAGTCGGCGAAGCGCTCGTCGACCTTTCAGGCTACAAGGAGGGCCTTTGTTTGGAGAGCAAGTGGAAATGACCAGTTCTATTCTCCGGAGCTTTCTTTTGGAGTGTGCAAAACGCATCGCTTTGCTGTTGAGCTCTGGAGATTTGATAGATTTGAGTCGGTGTTCACTCTTCACTCTTGAATGCACTGCCCCCAGGATGATGGAACAGCTGACGCTGGAGAAGGCATGTTTTTGCATGGTTTTTGTTGCCAAGAGACACCTTTTTGTTTGGCAACCTACCTTGGGAGCTCCACGTCATTGTCTTGGCAAGTTTCATTGCCGTGACATGCGATTTCACGTCCAGCCTCTGGGTGCAAGTGATCGCTCTGGGTACAGGTGGGCGATGGCCCTGACATGCTAAAGCGATATGCCATCAATCCTTCAGTCGAGGTGCATTCCCCGCTCCAGTGAAAGCGCGAATCGGGTGCGAAATTGGACGTGAACTTCTTGTAAGTACCTAGGGCTTCCGTGCAGAGTGACCGAATCCAGTGCATGCTGCGCAGCTACAGCACAGTGACACTTCGATTTTGAGGCAACCAAGCCATTGATTGGGGATTCTTCCTAGTTGATTTCTCGGTGGATCCAGCAGCGCAAGAATGGCCGATCCTGAGAGGAACCCACATCTGAAAGGGAGGCAAGCCATCCTGGGGGTTGTACATACTCCGATTTGTATATATTTATATAACTTAACTGTATATCAAGTTGTTAAACTGTTAAACTATGTTGTAAACTACTATATTATATTTGTATAATACTCCGACCTGCATCACCAACCATGTGCTATCGACACATTTGTTAGACGGTGCACCCCATTGGCACGATTAAGTGACCACGAGGCCCAATTAGACGCAGAAGGTGGATTTGTTTCCAGCATGAACATATATAGGTCATTTGGATTGAACTGGTTGTCCGTAAAAAGATGGAAAAAAAGATCAGGCCATACGATACAATAGGGCAAACCTTTGTATGGTTACCCCAAAAGATTAGTAGGTGCACAGGAGGCTCAAGGACTTTGTCTTCTACGTGTAGTCCGTGTAGTTGCGAAAAAAGTACAGCTATCCTACCGGTAGCGCTAGGGAGTAGAAGTAGTTGACTTGATTCAAGCTTTCTTGATACGGGCATGGCAACAACATATTGCCAAAGTACACTACCCAAATATACATGCTACTGGAAGCGGCCTAGGACCGTTGACGGACTGTCTGTCTCTCATTCCTGCAACAGCGATGGCTTCAGAATGAATGTTCAAAGCTTCTGGCTCCGGATACCTTGAGAGGAGTCGTTTGAGGATCTCAAAAGCACAAGAAAGACATGTCCTGTCAGTTCGATGTTCATTGGCACCGCAAGAGCCTTATGACTTAGTTTGCTGGCGTCAAGTGTGGTTCAGTTTACAGTAGATGTTTCTGTGCATGCACGAACATTATGTTTACATAGTACAGCCAGATCGCACTTTCCTTACCCAGTTCAAGCTGCAACCAAAGTCTCAGTTTTCAAAGGGTTGTCATGGCGGGCTCTGGTGCCAATGGTGCCCAGTTGCTGCGATGCTGGGACCGTGGGTGCTGTGATGGAGTTTCCTTTGTGAAGCAATTGAGGCTTCAAGTGATACGGACATCCATAGAGTGGCACTTGCCAAGGATGTGAGCCAGGTACACAGAGAGTCGAAGTTGAGAGGTGACTGCAGATACTTTGGCATGAATCCTGTTCAGAGGTGGACACTAGCCACGGTGATAAGTATGAAGGCTACTTTGCGTTTGTGTCCTTACTTCTTCGAAGTCTTGGAGCACAAGAGTTGTGTGGCTTTGAGGCTTGAGGGATGTTGTTTGTTTGTCATATTATGATTGCTGTACACCATGCCGCGCTTTCCATCTCTTTCGTTTAACACCTTGTATATAGTAGCTTTGAAGCAGAAGAAAGGCAGATACCTCAGCCCATGACCTTTTGGCAGAATCTAGAATGACTGCCCAGTGGTCTCAAAGACAAACTGACCAACTATTTGGGCAGGACCACCCCTTCACGAAGGAGGATCTTCGCAGACCGCTTTCTGCGCGATGTGGCAGGCAGTTTTCTGCGCGATTCGTGGATGGACAGGACCAGTGCTTGAACCACCGGCACAGCATGAAGTCAACAACACCATCAATTCCGCGGATTGTTTTTGTGTTTTTTTTTTTTTCCGTTGGTGTGCCAGGTCGCCCCGCCAGGATCCCGGGATCAAATGTGAAATGGCAAGGAGAAGCACTGCTTCATTGAAGTGTGCATGAAATCTTGCTTTGCAGAGTGTATGGCCAAGGGTTCTCCTACTGGTAGATTCTGCCAAGCTTGCTTTTGATTTCAGACTTGTAGCTGTAAGGGATACAATCATCATTGCTTTCTCTGATTCACCATAAAAACTACACAGATTGGTTTGCTGAAGTGCCTCTTTGACGTCTTGGATCCGCGCAGCTTCTCAACAACAGAAAATCTACAATGCATGCATCAGCATTTGGGGATCGTGCAGCCAGTGGTTTTGTAAATAAATTCCTGCTAGAGATGATGGACCATTTTGACCAAGAATGTGTCAACAAGTCTGCACACCACGCTCTCACTGCCAAGCAGGCTTAGCCCGAGTCTTATGGCGTCTTATGGGTCTATGAGTGAAGCAAACGGTCTGTGAGAAACCTTTTTTTTCAGGACAGCACGGAAGAGTTCTCAGATCGAAAGTTATGTTTGTTCTCGGTGTCATGGGGGATCACCTGAAGTGTCCTCGGTGTCCTCGGCGATCACCTGAAGTCATGCCATGGGTTGCACCCGAGGCACAGAATCAATGTGTTTTATGCACAATTGTGTGGTGGAAATGCCATGAAATGCCTGGTAGTCTCGCAAGCAGCTGAAAGGCAACTGAAAAGAGCTACGTATAATGTATTTGATTTGATGGTGTGCTGAGTAGTTCTCAGTTCCACAAATGATGGAATCGACAGATTGTTCCACTTGCCATGTACCTTTGTACACCTGCCTGTCATGCGGCCTCTTTTTCGGTCGTTTGCCGGATCACTCCCTAGACTCTAGACAACTGATTTCCAACGACAGTTGCAGGATTACAGATCGACAGAACATGCTCACGTTTGGCAAAACAGAGAAACAAGCTATATCGATTTTATCTCCAAGAGTCTATCTCTTTCCTCTCAACAATCATATGTTAAGATGTTAGGAGTGAGAAGAGCTGACAGAGTTGCGCAACAATACAACTTATTTGACAACAACTTTGCTTTCGACCGGAGTGAACATGGCGTTGAGCTCACCAGCCATCCGTGACTGGGACAAAACTACATGAACTGCCGCAGGTCATTCCAGAACACCTTTTTGAAGGTTATAGGTTGAAGGCCATTGCTATTAGGTTGTAGGCCATCGCTATTATTGGGTTGGAGGCCATCGCTACTATTTGGTTGGAGGCCATCGCTATTAGGTTGGAGGCCATTGTTGTTAGGTTGGAGGCCATTGCTACTACTGTAGGTTGGAGGCCATCGCTATTGGGTGGGAGGCCATCGCTGTTGGGTTGGAGGCCATTGCTACTACAGTATGTTGGAGGCCATTGCTATTAGGTTGAAGGCCATTGCCATTGCCATTTGGAAGCAATTCTTATTAGGTTGGTTGCCATTGCTATTAGGTTTTAGGCCATCGCTACTGTATTGGGTTGGAGGCCATCGCTATTTGGGTTGGAGGCCATTGCCATTGCTATTAGGTTGGAGGCCATTGCTATTAGGTTGGAAGCCGTCGCTATTTGGTTGGAGGCCATTACTATTAGGTTGGAAGCAATTCCTATCAATTCCTATTAGGTTGGTTGCCATTGCTATTTGGTTGGAGGCCATCGCTATTAGGTTGGAGGCCATCGCTATTAGGTTGGAGGTTGTCGCTATTAGGTTCAGTTCATGCGGTGATGTTGCTGTCAGTCGATGTCAGAGCAGATCAAGGGGACTTGGTATTTTATGGTATTTTGCATTGGGCCGACGACGTAAGGTCGAAGCTATTGAGTAAGAAGACACAGTGGAAACATGCTTAGGAGTACTCCCAATTGCATGGCCACTGCTTTTACCCACTTTCATCAAGTCATTGGTTGAACTTGATTGCTTCTTGCTCGCTGAGATGATGGTGGCATCGAAGTGCAAAGGACATTTGCGACACAGACAGGGATGTAGTTGCAGCAATCTTAAACACATTGTGAATCCATCGCAGTTGCTGCGGAGGCTCGCTTGTTTGTCGTATCATGTCGTATAGCTGAGAGGCCTTCAACCTTTGTATCATTGCACCCCAAGAAAGATGGGTTGGTTTGGCAGTCGCTGAGCCAATGTCCTCACCTGCATTCACTTCCCCCAAGTCTTGCAGGATTCAGCGCCTTGTCCGACATTTGTCACCTCAACTGGCACATGCCAATGCAGCCCATGTCACTTGCCTTCCAAGAGCGTATTAATATGCACCTAGACTTTTGCATGCCAAACGGGGACACAACTTGCTGAGTTGCATAATCCTTTTGTACCCACTCTGGGTGAGTCTGGCCAGCCTTTGGGGAAGATGCCCTCGTCCTGAAGAGGGCACAGTCTGAACATGCCCTCAAGTTCTGCTTTGATTTTCTTTGTAGTGGGTCCATTCGCATCCATTCGCTACATCAGATTGTGTGTCTTTAATGTGCTAATTTGCTGTGTTCTTTTGTCTTTGTACTGTAGTTGTTTTGAGCGTGGGGCAGTCAGCAGGCTGCATGGTATATACTCTAGATATCAAAGCTATCCTGAAGCTCGACTGATCGGTTGACCAGGAACTGACCAGGAACTAAAGTAAAGACCATGTGGAAATACGTGGAAGGACTGGAAGGCAAGCGACAATGGCAGAGACCCTTGGATCATTTTTGATCCATTTTGATCCTGACATTCTCATATGTTTTCAATTGTTGATATGGTTTCATTGCGTTTGCGCTGTAAGGGTGGCGACCGAAGCCGACGCCATGCAGGTGAAGTCCTTTCTGCATGGTTTGCTGGCTCACTTGATCATTGTACCTGCATGGGTGATTCCGCCAGGAGACTTGGCAGTCTTGAAAGGAAACAAAGGAAAGTCTTTTGTGAGGCCTCAGAGTGGAAGCTAGACTAGATCATCTAGATACACCGATTGAAACAGCTTTGGATCCTAGTCCTTGTACTCCCTGAAGGAATGCTCTTCGGCTCCCTGGTGATGGCGGGAGCTCCCCTTGGGCTCCCTGGCATCCTTGCAACAACAGGTGCCAAGGGCAGAGTTACTACTAGCTTCTTGTTACTACTAGTAAGGCACTTGTTACTAGTAGCGTGGCACTTGTTACTACTATCTCGGAACATGATACTTGAAAATGTGCAGCACAGTGGTGATTCACTCATGACACATGACCAATGAACTCGCCTTGCGAAACTGCAAGAGACACTTAATGACAGGAGCACAGTGTCGTGAAATGTTGTAAATGTATTTTGTTGAATAGTACATCGTGTGTTGCCTGTGTCCACCTACACCTGAAGTCGGGATTTCCAAGTGCATGAGTCCTGTGAACATGAGTTTGTGCAAGGTGTTGGTGCCGGTCTTGTTTCCGGGCCAAAGAAGTTGCGGCCAGCCGCTCGAACAGAAGAGTTCAGGGACATGTAGGGCTAGATTCGCAAATTGAAGCAGCGATGGGTGAACTAGCAGACTACTCCAAATGTGTGACATGTCAAAACAAGGAAGGAATATAATATAAGTTTACAGCAGAGAGATGCAGTATGAGTCAGTAGAAGTTGGTACTAGATGTACAGTGGTCACTTAGCATTCCACTCAAATTTATTGGAACAAGTCGGAACAACTGGAAGTTGTTCTTTGTTGGATTCTTTTGAGCACAAAATATCCTGTGAGACCAGCCGTGCAAGCTTCCGCACATGTAACTCCTTATTTGCATATGATGTGTTATGCTTGTTTGCAAATTATCCACGCTTTGCAGCCACAGGCCACAAGCCATACGCTTTTGCCGCAGGTCTTGTGTGGCGTGGTACTTCTCTTGGCTGCTAGAGCAAAGAAAGCTCGTGCCGCTCGATGGACAAAAGCGGGAAATTGGTTGACATCATGTTTCACAGCACTGAGTCCCCAACAAACCACATCTTCTGGAAGGGAAGGGTTCGTCCGTATAGTGCATTTTATATTGTATGCCTTTTGTATGACTTGTATAGCACCTTTTGGCTTAACACCATCACCCTTTTGACTGGTGATGACATGGAAGCTTTTGAGAGGCGTTTGCCCTGCCCGTGCTGTTGCAACTTTCCATCTCTTTTCATTTTCCTCGTCCTCTGTTCCTGTTTCTCGGTTCATTGGCTCCTTTGTTTCTCCCCTTCTTTTCTCTACATCTATGGTATTTCCTCTGTCTACCCTTCTACGTTGGCAGTGGCCCAAACTTTTCTAAAACTCCTGCAAGGAGAGATGTAAATTGTGCTTACCATGTTCTTGGTAACTTCCTTAAGTCGGTCGCAATGGTAGATGTGCTGCTTCCTCAATTCAAGCCGCATTCATTTTTCTTTGTATTTTCCTCTCCTCCCCTATCTTTTTGTGCTCCTTTCTATTGCCTTCTTGTCTCCTTTACCTTCAACAACTGGATCATTTGACTGGTACACTTTGGCACTTCATCAATTTTTTGAAGGTTGTGGTTAAAGTTATAGAGATGTAACCAGTTGTGCGTGTTGTTGTGTCTGGGGGGGTCTGGGTGTTACATTTGGCTCTGCTTCTTCTTGCTGTGAGATCTGTGGGTGGGCAAGCCTCATATTTGCCTTGGATAGAACTAGCGCGGGCACGCAGGCGCATATATTACCAATGTTGACTGGTGCAGATTGCGCTGGCACTGACGGATGGCTTGGCGGATGATCCCGATGGAGTGGAAGAATTGTACTACATACCTCGACATGATTGTTATCGCAGCAATTTTTACAACTTAGCAAGTGGCATACAACACAGTTAACATGTCCTCTCACAACTTGAGTTAAAGACTTTAAGTGGTTAGTACATGGCTGTGTTTTGGGCAATGTACAACATAGACACTAGAACATACAAAATTATACATTCAGAAAATGATGTGGACAATGTTACAACTCTTTTTGGCAATCAATAAGGTCTATGCATGGCTAAGAAGTAAGGCTATTAAAGTAAGTCTAGTAAAGGAAAGTTCATTACGTCAATACATAGCATTATTTAAAGTATCCAATGCTGTTATGGAAACGAAAAGCAAAAGAGGGTCAAGGCGACAAAGGCATGTCAGGACAGCTTGACAAAATAGCACATGGCAATGTAAACAAAAGGGCCAGAAAGGCCCCAACCTATGGCGATTTATGAGCATGGCACGATTTACGAGCACCGCCTTCCCAGACTTTTTTTGTAATCGCCCACCGACAACCAATTGTCCGTTTTTTTAAAAGTCAAATATTTGAGGTTGTAAGTCGGTTCAAAAGCACACATACTGACACAAGGACACACTTTCCAAGACTGATTAATGATTTATAAAACATACAATACGACTAACTAGATGAAGCCCAGTCCAGTCTGGTTATAAACATGTTGCACGAGCAAGTTGCATTACTTGAAATACTGCCTTTTGCTACCTGCCACATCTCACATGCTTGTGGTAATCCCAATGGACAGAACACAATTTGCCGATTAATTTTGCCTTCATTTCAGTTCGTAGCGCACTGTGACGATGTCGTGCCAAGTTCGTTCAGGTACGAGATGAATTTTGCACGAAGCTTTAGTCCTTGATGGTTGGTGCCATGTTCTTCATGAACCCATACTATACACATCTATATCCTTACAGCCATTGACAACCATTTGTATTTCGTTCAAAGCAAGGCCATGTTCAACCGTGTTCTGCAAAGAATGAGGCTGTTGGCGCTGCAGCAGTGGCATCGTTCTTGACGTGGCTGGTGACGCGATCAGGTCGACCCGGCCAATGGATTGATGGAACGGAAGATGAAGAAAAATGGAGACATTCCTGTTTCTTTAGTAGCGTCCTTTGCTCCTAGTAGTAAGACCAGCAGCCCCGATCGTAGCGTCCGATCGCTCCTAGTAGCGATGCCAGGAGCCCCTAGTAGCTTCTCGTTCCTAGTAGAAATGGCATTCCTGTTTCTTTTCTTTGTGAATCCTTTCGTGGTTTTCTTGGCATCTCCACCTTAAAATGAATGTCCTTTTCACCAAGAGAGGTCCATTGAAGACGTGGGATTCAAGGACCGTTTTGTTCGTTTTTAAACTTCTGTTTGCAGTTCAGGGGGGTGGGGGTTGGGGTTTCTAATCCATGCACCAGCCAAGTTCGCTTGTCAATGCACAGTGCTGTGTGACAGGCAAGATTCCCCGGTTCCCCTGGCTCTTCGACTTTGTCAATAAGTGGGCCAAGGCCAGTCAAGAGATCAACTAAAGCCGGAAAAGAGATGAGCTTCCAGCATGTCTGTTGGATGTTCGGACATGTTGACAGTGACATCGATGTTTGGACGTGTTTCTCGAGGACTATTATTCCTTCACAGCTTTGCGTGGTGCGCTGGACGACATTCGTCCCAACAAGAGCTTCCTGGGCTTCCACCCTCACGGCATCTTGGTGGCCAGCATGTGGTCTGCATAGCCAGAAGATGCCAGAAGCATCAGTGCCAGAAGCTGTGTCATGTCAGCGTAATGAAGCGTCACAGTGTCGTTTTAGGCATGGTAATTGATGCTGCGTCAGCCTTCCTTTGTTTGTGAATTATGTGAACTGTTTAAGGGCAGAGAGTGCCTCCAGCACGCTGCTACCTGTTCCTGAGTTTCTCTGGGTGTTCCTGAAATCTGTTCTGGAGCTTTTGCAAAGGACCTAGATTGTTCCGTTTGTTCAGAACCACCGTCACCATTCAGTATCAAGCAGCCACTCTCACCAAATAGCAGCCACTTGGAGGGTTGGCATCAAGTGCTCCATTCCGTGTGCATGGCAAAGGCTGCCTTTGTGCGGGCTTCACGATCAACTGTTGCTACAATGCGGACTTCATTCGTGCCTGCACACGTATCTTCTTTCTTTGTGATCCTGCTCTAAGGCCAGCACCGAGACTGTTCATCATGTAGTGTATTTGCTGTAGAATCACCCCCCTAGAGACTTCAGGCTTTCAATAGACCTGACAGCCAAAAAGGAAAAACTGCAATGTGTTGCCACCATGGAAAGCTGGGTCAAGTCAAGAGCAATATGTTGAACATAGTGCAAGGAAGGCAAACAGATGTTGCTTTCTTGTGACCAGCATCTCGGTCCCACGCGTGGGGTCCCACGGCCGAAGGTATAAGAACCCTGGATTTCAGCTGATGAGCGAGGCATATGAAGCAGATGAAGCTGAGAAGCAGTGGCATGTTAAAAAAGCAACACGATTGGATACGCTTGTTGTTTTCCCTGCTCGGTGAGTCATATTGCAAAGAAGTCGAAGGTGCCAGGGATGGCACACAAGTTGGGCCGCAAACGTATCAGTCAGCAGCACACCTTCGTAGTAGCTTCTTGTTACTAGTAGTATGGCCAGGAGCCCCGATCGTAGCGTCCGATCGCTCCTAGTAGCGATGCCAGGAGCCCCTAGTAGCTTCTTGTTACTAGTAGCTATTTGCTCCTCGTCATATATATATATATGTATGTCTTTTGCCACAATCGAGGGATCAAGTGCTCCTTTGTTTTGTGCTCTTAGGATCGTGCCATTGAAGCGTGCGATGCAGAAGGCGTTTGCCCTTGGGGAAATCTTGCTATGTCCGAACTCAGAAGCATCTTTTGCTGGTTAGTTGCACGAAGCCGGTTTGGAACATTTGCTTTGTGAAGGGATCCTAGGCCTGGGGACTTGAGGCTTGAGAGGTTGTTCAAAGGCTGCGAGCAGATCCTATTGATACCGATTTGGGTTTGGGCCAGACAGTCTTGTGTTGAGGCAGTTGCACAAAACTACGTGGCATAAAATGACGTGTAAGGCAGTCTTTTTTGCAATTTTTTTCTCCATGTACTTGTTGGGCTCCTGCTAGGCTTCAAGACCCACATGGCCACAGGTGTGAATGTGACCTGGCCAACGTAGGATTTGTGGGGATTGAAGATCTGGCTGGTCTAGCACACATATCCACCTAGTGACCCAACGTGATCTAGCCAGTTGTTTTTTTTCTACGAGAAGGGCTACGTGACCTAGCCTGTGGTAGCGCTTCAACCTGTTCATTGGTTGGCGAGATATTACCACAATTATATATATATATATAAGGAGCTTGGGCATATGCACGGCAAAGATCCTTACGAATGCAGCTTTGCCATTCAAGGTTGCCTTCATTCCTGGTGGTTTCATGGACGCAGTCGCCTTTGAGTTCGGAAAGGAGAGGAAGCCCCCCCACTTGCATGAGCCGAAGGCTTCGTGATTGCTTCAGGTTCCTCCACGACTCTCAAAAAGGTCAATATTGGACATACTCTGCCTTGCAAGCCTGCTTTCACAACACAAATTTTCATCATTGCCTTTGGCAACGGAGATAGTTTGAAAGATTGCCCTGTATGCCTTTGTTCTTCCAAAAGCAATGTTCATGTTGGAAGACCTAGTGACTTGTGACTCATGGAAGGATGTTTGTGTCCTCTCGAGCAAGAAGGGCTTCATCAAGTATTGCCTGCAGAAGCTTGGCGAGTGCAAATGTAGTTTCGTGGGTTTCCCGTCTAGGCTGCACTGCAGGGAGGAAGGACCTGCACATACCTGCACCATGTAATATGTACCTACTACTATATAGATCCTATTAGGCATTGGAATTGGAAGTCTTTCTTTTGTTGAGAAGAACTGAAGTCGTTTGTCGTTTGGTTGGTCGTTTTGCCAGTTGTTTTGCCGCGAGCTTGGTGCCAAGGTTCGGCTACAGAACCCATCCGGTTTACACCTTCGGGGAGTGCGAGACGCATCTCGGACGGGTTGGGCCATATGGCTAAGCGCTCCATGGTGGGTCGAGCGAAGCGCAGCCATTTGCCAACGAAGGTCCTACTAGTACATCTTTGGACGATGCCAGAATTTTGTGCAGGCCTGATACCAAAGGGCAGCTGTTGACTTGAGTTGACAATGTCATTTCGCCATAGAAAGGCAGAAACAAATCTTAGACGTTGTAGGAAACTTTGCCAACATGTACTGCCGTTGGAAACACGAAACGAACCCATGCCTGCCTCCCATAGCATCTCATACTAACCCTGCGCAGCGTGGGCACAGCGCTTCTTGATTTGCCAAGGTACTACACCTTCAAAGGACTCAAATCCTTGCGCATGAAGGTGGTCCCTTGTCACAGACATGAGTGTTGCAGGTTCCACTCACAGCCAACACGGATCAACAGGCCTGGATGATCGGATTGGATTACAACGATGTTTTTGTTTTGGTTTGTGATCTTTCCCCAAACGCAAGAAAGGACAGGCATCCTATGATATTGTATCAGAAGCGAATGTTGTCCGGGAATAATCAGAATAATGCATACTGTTGGCCGACAAATGAATTATATACTCCCATTGGCAGAGTCATTCGCTTGCCGAGGCCGCGCAAAATGTGCCTGCACTTGCCTTCTTTGGTTGGCCGCTTGTGCCTTTCCTCCCTCGACCCCAGTCGAAAATCATCACTTACGCAGCTTGTCGAAGGTTTTATGCAACATTTCGTATTTCGTAACAGCTGTAATATGCAGGCAGGTATGATATAGTCTCTTTAAAGCCAACCACAAAGCCTTGCAAAGAGGAGTACACCCACGCCTCATTTTGGCCAATGCAGAGAAAGGACAAGAGGGTGGGGATGGATTTGGATCACGTTTGGGGCTTGAGCCTAGCTCCGACTGAGGTTGGTCCTGGCATTGATATTCCGCACATTCCATCGCCGACTCAGGAAGATGTGGATCACTGGCACAAGGCGAAGCACCAATGATAGAGCTTCTTGCTACTAGTAGTAAGGTGCTTTGTTACTAAGTAGCTTCTTGTTGCTGGTAGTAATGGCCTCCACCCTAGTTGCGATGACCTCCAACCCTAGTAGCTTCTTGTTACTAGTCTGTGAGACCATACAGAAGAAAACTAGCAGACTGTGGATCCTGATTCTGGTCAGCACAGTCTTGGGAGGACGAATCACTTTAGGGTTTTGGTGCTTTCCAGGGAATGAACAGCTGGACTCAACAGCTGCACCTGGGACTCATCAGCAGTTTGAGACCCTTGACTGGCAGGTCTATGTTGAAGGGCTGCAGAAGCTTTTTGATGACAACAAGGTGCTGGTTGCAAAGTAGAGAAACCACCAACTGATGTTTGCCATACATTGCCCGACAATTGACCTTTAGGAGAATGCACATGTTCAGTTCAGCACAACAAACTGAAAGCGCCACTCGTTGAAGTTGGGCGTGTCTCGTGCCATAGCTACATTTGTGTCGGTTCGCAGACAAGAGCGAGGAGGTGAGGCAAACCAGCATCAATGAATCCTTCCAGCCTACGCTATGTGCTATGATCCCATTTAGTTGTCAGAAGGAGTTGGGCAGGTTCAGCCAAATCACTAGCCTGCTTGACAAGACAAAGCCACGACTGTTTGGGTCACGTGTGAGGCGGATGCAGGCTATCCTGATTCACATCTGGAAATTTTATAAGCAGAACTCGAATGCTTTTTGAGCTTCGATACCGTTTGAATGGCAGGATTGGGCAAGTCTCAGTATTAACATGATGTGGTTCTTCCAAGCAACTAAACAACTCTCACTGGTGGAACTGTCCATGACTGGAACACTGCATTTATGCAGAGACCTTTGCCCAAACCGAATAGCATAAATTATGAGTATTTGATGCTTTGGCACATCTGAGCTGCTTTTTATTCTGCACAACAGCTTTGCGGCCAAGGACCCCGAAGTATGCTTGAGATGCAGCGCAATGTTTGAGCCTGCAGACCACTCTTCTTGTTAAATGTGACATTTCAAGAGGGTACTTTCTGTCACAGGAGACCCTCAACCGGTTCGAGGTACATGAATTGCCTTCGATCATGTTCCGCATGTGGTTCCAGAAGTCTCCTTTTGAACTTGTATCATATCTTGTGAATGGACGTCTTCCTCAGTTGTGCCGGATGCTTAATTCTCCAAAAGGCTAGATCCAACTGGCGGAAAAATGTGTCGTGCTTCAGTGCACTACCGCTCAGCTTCCTGTGGTTGTGGATTTTGAGAGGTTCTAAATTCTCAACACGTGCAAGATTTGGAGCTTTCCACCGTTGGCCAGGCAATGGCTTGCAGGAAATGGGATCTCTATTCAGAGGCACGAGGCTTGTAGAACTGACAAAATGCAGGATTTGAGATGCTGTGGACACATGGTGGATAACGTGGACGGCCAAGAAATGAGACACTTGACCTGGACCTGCATACATCATCGCAAGTATGATCAAGTAATTATTGCGCAAACTCATCAAACGTATGCTTGTCAATGACTTGCTTGGGAATGGTTGGGTTTTCTGATTCCGACAGTCTGTCATTTCCCAAGCTGGGAAATGCGTTTCACACGATTTAGTTTGGGGCAAGATATCTTGCACAAGAATTGTAGGCGATTCATTTCCTGGGCAGCATTTTTATGTCACTAGGATATCGCAGTACATGCATCAAACACCTGTGAGCATGGACTGATCAGCTCCTGACAACAGCATGAGGTGGCAGCTGATGAATGGCATTGAGATGCAAACTGGGAGCCTACCTCGAGGAAAGAAGCGACCCAGGCAGAACGAACCAGCAATGTGTTGAGCAAAATGTTTAAAGAAGCACAAGGACAGGTCTAGAGTGTAAAGGGCTGAAGAAGAATTAGGAGAAATGACAAAGAACTGAGAACATGTTATGTTTCTTTGGGCTACAGATCTTTTAGTGCTTGCACACGCGCACAAACGAGCTGCAAACAGAGCGTGCCGGTGTATTGGTGTAAATGACAACGGGGACAGACCGTTGCACATGCGCAGTTGCTTGAATGACATCCTGTTTTGATGCCTAGCGTTGGTAGTGCTACAGCAACTATGTCTCTCGTTACTGGCATTGTCATTCTCTGGAGAAGACTACGAGACGAATAGGTTTGTGGTTGGAGGAATTCAACTACCAAACTCATGACTGCTCATTTTACCTTGTGCCTGGAACGTTCAAACAGCCGGGGCAATCACTCATGAACACCAACATGTTTGTTTCTGCCTTTGTTGAGGCAATTCGCAATGATGCGCCTGAAAGAAGACTGCCAGCCTGTAAACTCTAAGAGCGGCAAGGGGGAGCCATTAAGCAAGACAAAACAGCAGAAACTCATGGCTGCCATCATCCCAGTTGTCACATATGAATCTCTTGATGCGATCCAGGAATCCAGGGAAGCTCAGCAATTCCTTGAATCCCACGACTGCTTTTTGTTGGACAATTTTTGAACCGTCAATCCAGAAAGCCTTGCTTGATTCAAGACAAGAAACAATAATAAGAGCATAGGTTCAAAGATATTGCAAACGCTTTTGACCATTGCTGTTTTTCGCATCACTCTTACAACTTAAAGCTGCTTAGACACATCAAAGCTCGAAGCTGCTCTAGGATGGCGAGGCTCCAGAGTTACGGCACCAAACGTAACGTAAGCTCTGCCGGGTGCAGAATTGGGTCACATAAGCACAGGATGGAATGATGCAACACTAGCAAAGACAAGCCCATTGGCAACTATCACTGCAAGTTGAACCCCTTGAGTTCGGTTCATTTTCAATCGTTGAAGCTCACTTTAGGCAAACGTGCCCTTTGGCTGTTGTGTGCGCAGACATGCATGTGCAAATTCATGCACATTTTTTTGGTGATGTGTCTTGAAGGTGTGAGTCAACATATATTACGTATCGAAAAATGAGCAATGGAAACTCAAGTGACCTTGGAGTTCCCTTGTGCCCACCACTTCCTTGCTGTTGCTGAAAGACCGTGTCTAGGCAGCAGCTATAACCTCCTCTCTTTCCAACGCTTGAAACTGAATGTGTGGACAGCACTGTTCATCAACCAAGCACCGTGAAACCACTAGGCACGAGGACCGTGCACAGTGCATTGGAGACAATACGCACCTTGCATTCGATTACAATGTGCCCTTTGTTGCTAGTAGCGTCCCTGCTCAAGAAGTTTGTTTGGGTCCTTCTGGTGACTTGATTTTCAGGCCTCACAGTCCCTCCGATACCGCGGAGGTAAGGCCGTGGGTGACAGAGAGTGTGTTCCACCAGAGACCTCCGTCTTGGACCATATTGTTGAACACGCCGAGACCAGATGCGATCCACGATCCTTCAGAGCCAACAGACCAGCCAAAACCTTCGACTTGGAGCCCACAATGATCCAAGAAGAAAGATGCCAAGCTTGCGGGAATCTTTTCATGCACAAAGTCGCCAATGGTGTTGGCGCACCAACAATGAACAACATGTCACATGTCTCACTCTCCCTCTCTTTTTCTTCTGTCTCTCTCTCTCTCTCTCTCGCTACCAGGCCAAGAGTAAGCTCAGACCAGACCAAGGCCCGTCAAGGTTGCACGACAGTGAGACTCAAGAAATGAATGGATGTGCGCGACAAATGCGATCCATCTTCAAAAGGGTTGAAGGAAAAGAAACAGTGCAGAACCAATCGCCATTAGGTTGGAGGCCATCGCAAGCAGGTTGGAGGCCATCGCTACTAGGGTTGCAGGCCATCGATAGTAGCCTGGTGTCTAGAAGCAGAACCCCCGTTGAGCGACCGTGGCGCCGCAGCCATTGGCTTAAGCCGTCCGCCCTGGGATCAGCCGCGAAGTGGTCCGATGATTCGGCAGGGGAGTTTTGCTCCTTGGCCAAGCTCCGATGCCAAAGAGCCCTGTGTTTGAACGCCGCCCTTTGCAGACCTCAAGGTCGTCACCTATTCACCTGCAACCGTCGCATGATTAGACTATGATTAGACCCTTGCAATCCTTTCAACCGTTTGTTTTTGTCATCCTTCTTACATTAAAGCGGCAGAACCAGGTTGTCACCTGTCCTTTTCTTTTTGGTCGGATGTTGAGAATCGATGGATTCGCTTTTCTGCCCCGCTTGACGATTCGCTGAGGTGAATGGCTTGCTGGCACATTTGCTCATTGTGCCAGCATGGGTGATCCCTCCAGGAGAGCTTTAGGTCGACTCAGCACCTTTAGCGCATAAAACAGAGAACTTTAACTAAGACCCTTGGAATGCCAATCTAGAGGTTGTAAGGTTGTAGACACTGAGTATTGAGGCACAAAGGTTTTTCAATGCCTCGAAGGATTTGGAGCTTTTTTCTTTAAAAGCTCCACAGACTGTGCACAGCTCATCACAGCTCCGAAAACCGAAGGATTGCTCCTTGGCTCATTGGCCACGGCATGTTCTCCACTCGGGATCATTGGCATCCTTGTTGCGCTGGGTGCCTTGGCCTGCCTTGGCTGTACTACTAGGAACAAGAAGCTACTAGGGGCTCCTGGCATCGCTACTAGGAGCAAGGACGCTACTAGGGGCTCCTGGCCTTTCTGCTAGGAACAATAACTTATTAGAAACAAGAATTCAATAGAATGCACCTTGGTTTACATCTTTGCAATAGCTGAAGGCTACCCTTCCACCGCGTTTGCTTCTGCACTGTAGTCATGATGTTTCACTGTGCCAAATGCTGGACTGCAGTTTGCATCCCCCAAGTTGTATGGCCAGGCCTGATGGCGGGGCTTGTGTCAGGTCCGAAGAAGCTGCGACCTGTTGCTCAGACAACACTTCATGAATTCTCTGATTGCTTTTCACTTGAGGACGCGCCCAGACCAGCACATGCGAATGTTTCGTGCTTCGTCCCTCTTACGAGTGGATGCAACCGCTTTGTGCTTGCCTGAATGTGGGCAATAGGCAATAGTGATATATATATATGTCTTCTTTCAAAGAGAATGAAAACGGTCTAGACAATGCTGAAGGAGCTTGATAACACACACGCACACACACACACACACTCTGACATTGGTTTTCTCAATCTACCCTCAGAGTGTACTGATGCCATCCCTTTGCAGGCTCTGTTTCCATGTGACTAGAGCCAGCACGAACACTTCTATAGAGCTGAACCATTTTATATATCAACCAAAGGCCCCCCCCATAAAATTGCCATGGAATTGAGCAAATCTGATTTGGCAATCCGGGTCGAACGTCTCCAGTACGTAGTATATACAGAGCTCTATTTGGTATGGGAAGGCATCCTCATGTTACTTCTCAAGTTTCAACGAAGTCTGAGACATTCACTGAAGAGGCCTGGAGAGCCCAATAGGCCGCACATGGCAAGATAACTTCTGGTCATTTGTCCAGTTGCTTTTGGAGTGTCAAAAATTGCCAGGATGTCCATGCAACCCGCAGCTCTTTATATCCAGAAAGGGACATGAAACGCTTGATGCAGTGACAAGGAGGCAAACAATAACGCAGGCTTCAAAATATCATGGTGATACCTCTGCTGTCGAAAAAACATAGCGCCGTCGAAGAAGTGACATGGCACTTCTTCGATATGAAAGATAGACTATATATATATATACTATATAATTGCCCACATTGATCAGCTTCAAGATCCAAGCTTTGGACGCTGGTTGATGTTGCCTCTTATCACCACCCCAGGCTTTGTGCCTCTTGGTCATTGGTTTGGCTGGCAGCTCGAAGAAAGCTCCTGCTACCTAGTTGCAATCCTATTTTCAATTGCACCAGCTTAGCCATGAGCATGATCGAGCATGCCAACAAGGGATCCTGTGATATCCTGTGCTTTTGTTTTGGCTTTTGCACTCAGGCCATTGCAGCAGCACTCTTCGCGAGCTTTTTGACTTGGCTCGTCACCCGCAGAGGCGCCCGCTTCGGCTGTCACCGGTGCCTTCGTGTTCTCTTTCGGCATCTTTGGACCATCGGCAAGAACAGAAAGCATTGACCTCCAACCGAATTAATTCATAGCGGTGGCAACCAACCAGGAGCAATGGCCTCCATAGATTCCCATGTTTTAACAGAATGTGATTCTCATCATAACTTCCCAGCAACTTCCCACCCACTCTGTTCACTGTCAGCTAGGACCGGCTACCTTGGTCCAAGCTTTGCCACTTGGGACCTGTGATGAGTCCCTCGAATCCAGTGGCTTAGGTTTTAGACATAGGAACCCAACAAAGGGCAAACCCCATGAGAAACACGAAGGTGCCCAATGAGAAACACGAAGGTGGCAGCGCATGTGCAGGCAAGATCCAGCCACGACCATGGCTGTTCAAATATGTGAGCACCTGGGCCAAGGCAAAGGTTTGTTTCTCTTGTGCTTTCAAGCGCAGGCAATGCTTGGACTTTTGAGCCAAGACAATGTTGTTGCCTGGAGTCCCAAGTTGTGTCAATCACTGCTTTTCTGGCTTTGTCGATGTAGTACAATGAAGTAATCTTTTGCTGACTTGACACAACCCCGCACTCGTCGCACAAATCAGAACTCAACTGGTTGTGTTTCAGGATTATTACTCTAGCACCGCTCTGCGGGGAGCACTGGATGACATCCGCCCGGAAAAGAGCTTCCTGGGATTCCATCCTCATGGCTCCTTGGCAACTATTCCAGCTCTCAGCTGTTCGTTTTTGAACGGCTTTGTCATTGTCAGCCCAAGTCTGCTCATGCCTTTTCCATCCTATTCCAACATATATGTGGGTCATTTTACATCTGGCAAGATGTTGTGGAGGAAGCATTTCGACCACCTGAAGTTGCGATGTATATAAACTGGTAGACACATGTAGACACATAATGTAGGCACAGGAGAACGCAACTCTCCAATCTTCCAAAAATCGAGATTACCATGAACCCTTGAAGTCTCCTCGGTCTGTAATCCAGGCCAGCCAAAGGAGCTGATCGAAACTCAAGACGATTTGTGGAAACCAGCACCGGATGATTTCTGAGGGCACTTGGATCATTGGAGCACATTAGCGCATTCAGGCTGTCTTTGTGCCGGGTTCACCATCAACGCCACGTTCAACCCCGACTTTATCCGTGCTTGCAAGCGCGTGTTCTTCTTGTGCGATCCTGCCCTAAGGCCAGGGTGGGCTTGCACGAAATATAATTGATTGATGATAGAATATATATATATATACAAGTCATTAAGATGCTGTGTATATATATATGACACCGCTATCCTTACCCAAAGCACTATTACTATGGTGTACAAATGTGGACGCTTCGAAGGGATGACAAACATGAAGGCAAAGAGCGTGCTTCCAACGTGAGCTTTGTGTAGAACGCTTCATGAACAGCTCGTGGAACGCTTCGTGGACACACCTGGGACCTGTAAGGTTTGAAAGGAGTGGCAAGGCCGACAATCTGAGTCGACGATTTGCATACCATAAGCTTGAGCTGAGAATGCAGGAGCTTAAGACCAAAACACAAGGGAATGGACGAGCCTGGTGACGAGCCCAAATGATCAGACAAAAAATTCTGATTGGCAGTGGATTTGTGTAACATTCTGGTACTCACCAAAGGATGCCCCCCTTTCACCAGCAACCAATGTTCTCTTGCAATGTCACTTGTTTTTTTTCACCTCGGTCAATGGGCATACAGCAATGATGTTCTTTCTGCACCAGCTTTCTGGAACATAACCCTTGACGTTTCTGGGAACCCAGCTTTCTGCAAACGTATTTTCGGTGTACACCCACTAGTATATAGCATTCGTCGCAGCCACTTACCACCGACCTTCCTCTTTTTGGGGCTATGATTTTGCCGAGTGCAAGCAAGTCATCAGCGGCATGATAAGCCATCACACATTGGACACATCAACCAGCCTCAGCTTGTGATGTTGCAACTTGACATGACAGTGACAAACCTATGACAGGCACAAGAATCCTGGATTTCGGCTCATGAGTGAGGCATATGAGACTGAGGAAACTGAGCTGCACCCCCCACTGCCAAACTGCCCAATCGATTTCTTTGAACTCCAAGACAAACGTACTATACAACCACTTCACTAGCTGCTTTCGTACTTTCGTAAATAGAAGCAGGGGTGAATTTTAGAGAGTTAGACAAGTATTGGTGGTGGATACCTGCCGATTCCTACTTGAGAGTTTGTGCACCGTTGTTAAGGATCATGCCATTGAAGCTTGCGATGCTCCAGGACCGCAAGTTTTCAAAAGAAGGCAATCATTTGTAAACGTCAAGTTGACGATTAGTGGTCTAGCCAAGCCTAGACTGTTGACACGTGTGACTGTCACCAGACACCATTTAAGCAAGTTGCTCCAACTCTGAACATTTGGGTGCTGTCCATGGAGGATTACTTTTATCCCCCAATTCGTCCTTAGGCATGTTGCATGAATTATTTGATGCAAAGGACACTAGCCTCCAGGGGTTAAACGAGCAAATGCATTTGTGGATCTAGCCAAGTAATCGCCAGCCTCCAGGCTTCAAGAAACAAATGGCATCAGGCGTCAATGTGACATGGCAATGTTGGAGAGCATCCTGTCCATTTCTTGTGCTTCGAGTAAGTTACTGTAATTATTATGTCTATCCGCGATCCAGCTGTTTGGCCACTCCGTTTCACTTCATTTCCTCAAGGACTCAAGATATTCTCTCCTGGCTCACGTGACAACTTCAGTACTATCATCAGAAAGAGTTAAACATCCACAAGCACAAACATATGCACGGATATGATATGCACCCAATTGTATACTGCAAACACTACAGATTAACAGGTAGGCAAGCCACTGACGACTACTTTGTTGATTCGTTGTGACTCGAGGTTGCTTTTAACCCTGGGGGCTTTATGGATGCGAGCGTCTTTGAGCACGGCAAGGAAAGTGAAGAAATTTGGTTGTGCCTTCAGTAATTACTCATAATGAACAGATGATCTATGCTGATAGGTACCGTGGAAGTTTCTTTTTCTTCCCTCACACATCATTGGGCTCGTTTGACATTGGTAAGCAGCCCCTTCAAATCCACCGAAAAGCACCGGATTTGCGCTGAGTGGTTGCATTGGACTACAGCAGAAGCCAGCATGTTTGCAAGGAGCTAGCAGACTAGCGGTTGGATTTGAACAAATTGTTGTATGCAAAAGCATCCTCTTTGACATCGAAGCCATCATGGTAAAGTCGTAAGCAGCGATATAATAAGGACAGTATCCCAAACTGAGGAACATGCATTTAAAATTTGCAACTGAGACCCAGGCTTGTCATCTTGTCATTTACAGACTTGACTTGCCCTTCAGTAATCACTCCCTGAAGACGACGCGAAAGCCAGACGATGCTGTGAACCGCTGTGAACTTGCAGGATGCATGCGTTCTTCAAAGCAAGAAGGGCTTCATCAAATATTGTTTGCAGCAGCTTGGCGCTTTTGGCCATGCGTTGTCTGATCGAATCCATGGCAGGAACCCCCATTGCCCATTGCTCTTCCAAAGGTCGAATGAGAGAGGTGGAGTCAACGATGAGGGCGCAGAAGCGTAACATACTGTGGAGGCACAGCCAGATGCAGAAGCGTAGCTGAGCATCTCGCTTTTGAGGTTTGGATATCGAGCCCACCCTGTCTACACGTTCGGAGAATGCGAGACGCAACTCAGCAGCAGGCATTCCATCCACTTCCATCCTGCCCTGTTGATGTGCAGATGGCGTCTAGGGCTTGGCTTCAGTCAAATGAGGGCGGAAAGCCTTTTGCATTGCCTAGTTAGTCTGTACACTAGGAATCATGTGATGCGGCCATTCATTTCTTTTCAGAGCATCCCAGTTCTTCCAATTTGAGGGAGTTCTAAACAAACACGCCGTAGAAGGGTTAAAATGGCAGGGGTCAAAGCCAAGAGCCAAACGAGGCGGGGCTCTCCATACCGAAAACAGCTGGCACCGCACCGAAAGACGGCTCAAGCCAAGCTTCTGGCAGTTCATGAGCCTGGCTGAGGTACCATACCTTCACAGGTCTGAGGTCTGTCCGCAAGAAGCTGGTTCCTTGGGCAGAACTTGGGTTCGGAGCCTACAGCTATAGTGATAGACACACGTGTCGCTGGATGCTGCCGTGGTCGAGTCATCAAGCATTTTCTGTCGAAGCTTTTGTATGCTTATGTATTGACATTCTTTATCATGCTGTGACATGTCCGTTTTGCACAAATACATTCCTGACATTGCTTGAAACCTGAAGCATGCCCCTTTGACGACATTCAACGACGCGATGTATCGATCGACTTTGACCGATTTGAGATCCGACTTGCTCTGAGCCTGGCTCTTTAGCTCAGTGAATTTCAACAGTGTCAACCCTATAGCATCAAGTGGTGCCATGCTTCCTTTCCTACTACTTTGCGTTGCCGGCGCCCACGCAAATCCTGTATTGGAAACAGGAGATCCTTCGAGAGATGAGTGCAAATGTTTGACTCATATTCCACTCGACCAAAGAGTTGGAGCTCGCAGTCGAGTCGTGGCGAGGACCAACGCTTTCCTACGTCTTCCAGGATACGCCTCCCACTCTTCTCTTCATGTGGGGAGCTGGTTGCTTTTGCAGCCTGCTGCATTTCGATCATCTTAGCCTTTACTGTTCGATTCTTAGACATAACTCTTGCTTCATACATCTTCACACCACAAAACGGCAAAACTAGAAGGTTGTCTGTCGCATTGACCGGTCTGAAGAGTTTCTAAATGGTCTAAAGGTTCTAATTATTCCATGTGTTCTTGTGCATGCTTCCTGGAATGTTGAATAACATTTGATCTATATAGTACTCAGTGACAGCAGGTCTAGACCGTATGCAACTACCACTCTGATAGAAGCTACAAGGATGCTCCAATGTGCCCAGTGGTGTGTTTGCCTTTAGAGCTTACATCGGTCCTTTTCTTCGGCAATGAACAGATGTCGCAGATCTCAGGCACCTTGCTGACTCTGTTTACCTCTTTCTACAACATCAGGTGGGATGAGTAGGTGAACTTGACACGCTACTGACTGAAGCCATCTTCGGCCCTTCCAACACATGCAGAGATGTTTAGAATTGTTTACAGTAGACCTGTGACACAAGTAGAGTGAGTAGAGTGAACACAGGGCTGAGACACCGACGGCCGCCCAACAGGCAACATATGGAAGCTGCCAGGACCCAAGGCTTTGGTCAAGATGAGTTGATCACCTCTTTCGGTATCCGAGCAGATCCTTGGAAAAAGTTTGGCCGCTGCAGTGGACAGCTGGAACCAATACCTGACTGCCAGCTCATCCTACAGTCTGCCCACAAGCGCTGCAAAGTGACAATGCCATGGACTACCAATTGTAATGATTCGTTATTTATATCCGGACTTTATTTTGCAGCCGATTATCCCGCCACAAACAAGCAAAGGATCGCATCATGCAGCTCTTGCTGGTACCAGTCGTGTGCTCTCTCTCTGGAGCAGTGCCTTGCAAGCAAACTGTCGAGCCAGAGAATGAAGATGAAGGAAAACGGACTGACACATTCCGGCTCCGATGAATGTATTATATATATAACTGGAATCCTCCTGAATATTTTCACGACAGAATGGGACGGGTGGACCACTGGAATATATATATATATTTAATAGAAACACTCGTCCTGTAGAACACGTTGATTTTGTAGAGAAAGTTGTGCAGGAGGATCTGGCACGGGGATGCAGGATTGCTGTGGTGTTTTTATATACAAGGGATGCGCACAAGACCGGCAAAATGACACTCGAACATTGTAAACTTGCCAAGAAGTGCTGAAGTTGCCATTTTGTAGTGCTGGTTCTGATAGTTTGCCCAGTTTGTCCTTTTGTAGTGGTGGTACCAGTATGTGACTTTTCTGTGTCTCCCTTTCCAAAATCTTGAAGTGCAGGACACCCTCTTCTACAGAATGCCAATCTGCCACCTTTGCCTCACATAACCATCTGAACTGCTCAAAGGAGGGTGAACATGTCGGATTGCAACACATGACCGTATGCTGAGACCTGAAACCCCTGGGAACCATTGGAAGCCGACCCATGTTTCTCCGCAACCCCCCGAATGTTCCTCAAGAATGGTCTGTTATATAGTATTATATAGCTAGTGCTGAAGTTGCCATTTTGTAGTGCTGGTTCTGCTAGTTTGCACCTTTTGCCACTTTGTAGTGGTGTTATGTGCCGTTTCTGGTGTCTCCCTTTCCAAAGTCTTGATAGTTTCATTGTGTTGAGTTTTAGCTCTACAAAATGAGACACTCTGCGTTATGTTTCTATTTGCCAATTCGCATTCTACCTGACTTGCAAAACTGGTACCCTCTACAGAATGTATCATGGACGATTTCGTTGTTTTAAATCATATTATCTCTTTTTCTCTATCAATCCCCTTCCGGAACCTTCCCATTTTGTCGAGTGTGTCCATGTCCCCAAATGCCCTTGTGCGTGGCATCTTGTAGAGACTCGATTTTACCAGTTTGTGATTCTGTAGGCCTTTGGGTAACCACTTTTTGTGTTATATAACTACAGAATGCTTAGCACAACCTATCCTGGCTAACTCACAAGCGGATATTTTGGATGTATTTGGGGACTCCTTCTCAGTGATTCTTTTGGGCATGTGTTCATGAAGAACGATAGAACGATACTGCTGGCCAAACAGTCAGGAGCATGCCGAAAAGCTGGAAAGAATTGGAAACAATATTTTTGGCATCGATACGGAGTCATTTATTACTGGTCCAACCGGGTTAACCGTGGCGGATTCGATAGGCAAGCCGAAACATGTATATTGCAAACAAATAATTCCACTTGCCTAGCAGTTGAGGGCAGCCAAGCGATGACAAGCCACCAGCCTGGTTCCTGAACAATACACAGGCCGATGCCGTCATCCCAACAACTCCACTGCCGTGCGCAGTTCGGCGCGGCCCGCCCACTCAGCAGGTGCAGATGTTTCTGCCGGGGACCGCCAATGTTATGTCTCTGTTGCGTAGCATCCAGCTGGCCTTTGCCATGGTCAGACTCATCGAGTGCCTCAATCAGCATGATGCAGATCACGAAAGCCACAGTGATAAGACAAAAACAAGTGAAGGAACCGGTTCTTGTGTTCACCTGTGATATTGACTCTGACAATGCATATTGTAAAATTGTGTACATATATATATATATATACAGCATATATATATATATGTAATAACAATATATATATATAATTACAGTATATATACATACACATATATACATGGTTGATTGTGTTTGACGTTCTTGGGTGTTTTGTTGCTCTCATTCTATATATAAATTTGGAGATGGACGGAGAGCCAGTTCCCTGCTCCCCCGACAAAACGCAGTAGTACAAAACTTTCACAGTTCCTCTATGGGGCACCTTTTATTTCTTTTCTGCGCCATGTGAGCTGATGGAATTGAAACACGTCATCAGTTGGTCCCAGCGTCGTCGTTGTCGAAGGTGTAGAAATCGGAAGTTGTGCTCTTATCGCTCTTGTTTCTGAGGCTCCTCTTTATCCTGAATGGAAGTCAGCAGCAAATTGTTTCAAAGCTGCCAAGGGCAACTTGGTGTTGATGAGATATGGGCAAGGAAAAGAGCAAAGCATCTCTACACTCATTGCCTCTGTCATGTACATACATGCGCATTTCCATTCCATTGTTTGATGAATCTATCAATAGTTCAGACATGTTCAGAAGGAACATGAACGCAAGGTGGCTTTGCATGCGGTGTGTGTGTGTGTGTCAACCCCTGTTCCTAAGGGTCTTCGTTCCACTAATGCAGGGGATGGAGACACCTGTATTGCTTCTCCATCAACGAAGCTGGCAATACATGGTGAGGATATCAGTTCCGGACGCGGAACTGACGTACCTGCTTTCAACACACCGACTCCAATGGTCCACCCTGCTGCTGTTTCGTTGGTTCCATGGTTGTTCTCATGATGGACCCCAAGACCTTTTCCCACCGCAGACTTGCAGCAGACTTGCAGCCGCGCTGAGTGTCCGATCTTTTTCGAGTGCAATTGAAGACAAGGTTAAACCATAGTTTTCTCGCTGACCTTTTCACCTTGCGGTTCTCCACCTTCCTTCCACCTGGGAATTGAGTAAACAGCAAACCAATGTCAGAGTGTGAACCGCTCAGCCGTCCCACTTGGGTGCTGGGTGTGATCCTCCGCAAGGAGGCGCTGCTTTCATACCGGAAATCGTTTTCCTCTTTTATCGTCCTTTCATCCTGGATCACTTTCACTGCTTCCGTGTCACTACTGAATTAACAGAATTCAAAGCCGCCGGGCATCTTACGGAATTTCTGTGTCTTCGGATTTGATAGCGACATGCATGCAAGAGCTTGTTACTTCGAATTTGTTGCAGCTGCACTTTCGAATCCGGCTGTACGTCCAAAAAGGACATGATCCAACAGCATGCCGGCGTTTTTTGAGAAAAAACAGATGGCGCCACCTTTTCATGTGCCTGCGCCGACCTTCGGCTACCTGTGTGTGTCAACCCCTGTTCCTAAGGGTCTTCGTTCCACTAATGCTGGGGATGGAGACACCTGTATTGCTTCTCCATCAACGAAGCTGGCAATACATGGTGAGGATATCAGTTCCGGACGCGGAGCTGACGTACCTGCTTTCAACACACCGACTCCAATGGTCCACCCTGCTGCTGTTTCGTTGGTTCCATGGTTGTTCTCATGATGGGCCCCAAGACCTTTTCCCACCGCAGACTTGCAGCAGACTTGCAGCCGCGCTGAGTGTCCGATCTTTTTCGAGTGCAATTGAAAACAAGGTTAAACCATACTTTTCTCGCTGACCTTTTCACCTTGCGGTTCTCCACCTTCCTTCCACCTGGGAATTGAGTAAACAGCAAACCAATGTCAGAGTGTGTGTAAAACATCCTGTCTCTATAAAGTGTTGTCGTTCTTGATCCACATGTGTTTGTGTGAAACGACAACGGGCAACAAAACGATCTTTTGTCGCAACAACACACTTGACATTTTTCGACCACGAGTCTTTGCGTCAAAATTCATGGAGACCGGCTTTGCACTCTTGTTGTATGCCACATTTTACAGCTTATCACCGCTCCTCCACACTGCATCACTGTTTGACAAACCGCTTGCATGTCCGAAATGTTTTTTTGAACCACGCAGTTCTTTACCAGTATTGTTTTGCTTTCTTATGATAAACGACGCCTCCCAGGCTGTCTTTCCAGATTTCCATCACAAGGAACGGCTGAGTTTCGTCAGGAGCCGCAACGGATCTTCGCAACTCCACCTTTCTGCTGCCTCTGCTGTCCGGTGCTTCCCAAGCACCCCGGCAAAACACGCCGAAGGGCGTCGTTTGGTCATCGGTCCAACGGTAGCATAGCCGGCAGCAGGTCAGCGACGAAGGTATACTACTACTGCGCGCCTGCGCTTCTTTGGGTTCCCTCAGTTATTGTGTTCATTGAGCCACAAACAGTTTTCTCTTCTCTGCATGGAATGTTGCTCAGGCTGTGCCATCTTCGCTTCTTTGTTGTAGGCAGGGAGCTTAGATAGTGTTTCTTTGCTCATTTCTCGTTCGTTGCGGCTTGATTTGTGGTCGATGAGCTTGGAAAGCAACGGGGCTAGCCGCTGGCCAGTCCCTCAAGACGGACGGTTCTCCTCCAACCACTTGCAAACATTCCAGGTAGACTTGAACAGTCATTGCAAGGTGTTCAGCAGTTCATGCTGATTTTGCCTGTCATGGGCGTTGTGGATGTGTACCTGGGGCATCGCTTCGATGATGACAGCAAGCAGAAAAAACTAAGTGGCATCATTGCGGCTTGGCAGAATCCAAGTGAAAGTAGTAAGCATCATGTGGCTGTTGAGGGCTTTGCATGACTTTGCGTTGCTTTTGAGATCTTTTGAGTATTGTGACATGTGTCATAGTTGTGAAAGTTGGGTTTGGCCTGGTCTTGTGCCCGATGAGAATCTGCAAGCAGTCTAAAAAGAGCATTCTTTTCTCTTGTGTTCTCATTGCCCAAGCGGTCAGTCGACACTGAGTCAACAAAGTAAGTCGACACAGGTGACCATCAGCACCATGCTTGGAATGTGGGCCTTCAAATCCTTATTGCCGCAGCTGGGCGCAAACTGGGCAGAGCGGCCCAAAGTAAGTCCAGTCCGCTGGCTGACCTGACCCCACAGGAAACGGATGTGTCGTGTTTTACGACCTTTTTCAAGAATGTGATCAATCTGACTTGACAGCAGTTTTTTCTTTGTGGCACCATCTTCTGAGTCTTCTCTTTTCAGTGGGGGTCGAGCACTACGTGGGGACCCCTTCACCAGTGCAACTGCTCTTGAGACAGCAAGTACGAAATGCCAGCTGTAAAGCGGACCGTCTTTGGCCTTCTCGAACGCACTCAAGCGGCTCATAAGATTGGTGTTTCACATTCTTTCACAGGGAAGCCGAGGGGTTTTCAATAACAACAGATTCAAATGCACTTTAAACGGTCTCAGGAACATCATTGTCCCGAATCCTGAACTCGCAAATCCGCCGAATCGATGTGCACCTCTTTGAGGCTGATCACTCAGAGCATCGACGGACTTGACAGCAAGAGCTTGAGCTCCATGGAGCACTTCTTGTTATTTCAGATGATGGCAGCCAAGCTCTTGGAAAAGATTCTGCCCTTCGCAGTGCCTTCGAGCCAATTCTTGGAGAAGCCGCTGGAAGACAAAGCATTGCAGGCAAAATAAGCAATTTGGAGGACCAGTGCCAACTCAAGCAACACTTCCAACACCACTTGGAACTTCAAACCTAAAAGGCAAGATCAACCAAGGTTCCCGTCATATGTCTCCCACCAAGGTGCCGGGAGACTTTGAAGGCACAAGCTGGATTATGCCACACGACACCTTCATTGAGATTCTGATGCTAAGCATGAAACGTCGCCGATTAGAGCGTGATTCTGATTTGTTTCAGTCAGATTGGATGGAGCCTTTTTGACTTGCCTGTCCTTGAGGACTGGTTTTATCATTTGCGTCTTGCAGCTTTCCCTGTCTACCTTGGGATTGCAGGTGTGCTGGGAGATCAGAGCAACGCCTGAGACAACATGAAGTGACCAAGCATCCCAATTGATAGGTTTAATATGGTTTAACCCACTCCGCGCTGGAGCAACATATTGCTTTTTTTGGGGCACACTCATTTTGGCTGCAATCGCTGGCAGGCTTACCTGGCTGATGAGATTATGTATCCTGCTGTTGACTTTGAGTCAGACTTGCCTCCAGACACTTGCCTGCAGCCAGGCTTGGTTGTTGCAAGGTAGCACTTTTCGGGACACCGGAAAAAGCCCTTCGGTGAATAATCAGCCTCATGACTGCTTTGAACCCCTTTGGGGTGAGGCAAGTTGGAGAGACGTGCTCACAAAAAGCAATTGAGTCTAGTCTGGGGGAAAACTCCGTGTTTGTACCGAGGACACCATGGCCGCGCTGGATATGAGTGGTGTGGACCCAAGCAAATGGCAGCGGCTGCAACATTGGAAGGAAGCAGCTTCGCCTACAGACGTTGGCAGTGCGATGCCAACTGGCCCACTACTTTTAGGACACAAAGGCCCAAACTACATGAGAGCGGAGGCCCGGGCTGGGCGGAGGGGGGGTGAAGTTGACCGGTGAAGTTGACTGCTTTGTAAACAATACCTGCATCCCAGCAAGCTCAAAGGGCAGTACAAGGCTGTCCGGAGCACCCGCGCACAATATTGGATGCCTGCCAACAAGCAGCTGTGACTGGAAAGCTGCACTTGAAGCTAGCTCAAGCTGCAGTGGTGGCTAAATGCTGAGCCAACGTTGAAGCGAGTGGCCGAAGTGGTATGAAGTGGTACTGTAACTAGTCCAGCTTGCGGCAACTTTCACAAGCGATCGCAGGCAGCCTGGCACTTGCATGTGGTGGGACTCTGTTTTCCAAAATTACTAGGATTCAAGCATTCACAACTTTCATAAAAGCATGGTTTCTTTTGGCTAATTACAAGTAAACTTAGTCTTTGTTAAGATGCACACATGCCCAGTAGAAGATTCCCAACCACGCAGACTGTCATGGTCAATTCCTAAGCTCTGAAACCTATAGATTGTTTATTTTATAAATACAGAGGTCGGTTTCTGTCGCAGACTATCTTCCTGACACGGCACGTCGGATCAGATTGCAGAAGCCATCGCCAGGCACAGAAGCCATCATCTACCCAGGAAACTCAGCAAAACGAGGATGTGTGAGGGTCCGAAGAGACTCGTCGCCTTTGACCAAGATTTTCGCTGGTACCACGAGCTCCAATGTTCTCATGCAAAGACCATTGGACGGCTGCAAGATTAGTTAGTAATTAGTAGATGTCCATTAGACACTGCTGCTTTCGGCTTGGCCCAGCTTCCAGCTACAAAAGCTTGGAATCTTTTGCAGGGCTCTTGTAGTTACAGTTCTGATCCTTTGATCAGTTTTGATCGTAGTGTGAAATGTGAGGGCCACGCGCATGGGCTATAACAATGGCAACCCAGAGAACATGGAATGAAACGACTATTAAAAAGACAATCTTGCGTCCAACGTTCTATCTAGTACTACTGTCATTCATGACCTGAGATCACATGATTTTAGTAAAGGCCTACCGCTCGCAGCTTGCTGAATTGATGCATTGAATGCTGAAGTACTTGAATTTTACTGGGCTTTTGGTCTCACGCATTGACTGCTCCAATCTCCTTTGGGTGCTTCCCGACGCTTTGCCCGGGAACGGGCTTCTCGTGCAGTCCTAAGGCTGCTAACAATGTGCCCGCGGTGGCCTTCTTCGGCTGGCCGCTCTTGCCCATCCTCCCGCGACCAGACGCGAAAATCCTCACTTATGCAACTAGGCGGAAGAAGTGAGTCGTACACGGCCCAAAGAAAGCTTCAACAGGACCATATCCTCGGCATCCTTCACCAACAGATGGTGCTTGCTGACCTTTTTTTTGCGATTTCCTCTTGAAAAGGTCTTTGGCTGTCCAAGGTTGGCCCTGGAATCGACATGCCGCACATCGAACAACCAACGCAAGAAGATGTGGATCACTGGCACAAGGCACACGATGTGGATCATAGGCTTTTGCCACTTGCCAATGTGGATCATGAAGCTACAGACATGTACAGCTACACGCCGTGTGCACCAATGATTGTCAATGTGTGACAACTCTAATCTGGAATTTGACTAAGTGAACGTTGTTTAGTCACTTGCAAGTAGAGATGCACAATTATTTCAAGTGAACCCATTCACCATGTTGGCAGGTTTACACGGAAGGGCTGCAGAAGCTTTTTGACGAGAAGAAGGTTGGGGCACGATTGACTGCAAACAAGTGTTTGTACATTGCTATTTTAAGCTTGCTTTGTCCGGCGATTCAAACTCAGGCAGAGGCTGGCTACCCAAAAGCAGAGCTGAAAATCTTCTGAAGAGCTCTGGAGGGTGTCTCAAGCTCTCTTCCCAGCTAAATTTTTGCTTCCATGCACGCGACAAAGGCAAAGAACCATTATCCTTCGTGTCTCTAGTAGGACGTATAGCTGCTTGGTCATTGTCAAAGGGAAAGCGCCTGAGCCAAAGCACATGTGATGGGCAAGAGTTACCAGACGTGGGTTGCCAGCAGAAACTCCTGGTCCTTGATGTGGAAGGGCGACCCTTACCGTTTTCTTGGGATTGTGGATCCCAGTCTTGCGCTCCGAAGAAGGATTGATCTGTGCAATGGCCGAGTCTTATTTCTCAATGATGCTCAATGTGAGCTTCGCACTGCTTCGCATAGCTTCGCATTGCTTCGCATTGCTTTTCGCATGGTTGGCCTCCAAGGTTGATACCTTCGAAATGCATAGATGACAGGTTTTGTTGACACCAGTTATGAAACATCCCTGGGCTGTTCCACTTTCGAAAGAGAGCCCTCCCTAGGTCTCTGACGGCACTTCTGTTAGAACCATAAATGATCATAAATGCTTCTACTATATAACTGGCCTTAGCTTCAGGACAACGCTTGCTGCTTCACGTCACCCAGACTTAGAGGCTTTGCAGCTTCCTACTTCAACACTTGCTTCCTACTTCAGACATGCCAACCAATTTTTTCAAGTCCTTCGGAGTCCTTCGGATGCTGCACCGTGCACTTTTTGCCAGTTTTCCACACCTAGAAATTGGCAAGAGGAAAAGTTGGGGCCATTGGCTGCGTGCTCCCCTTGGGAACGCCGCCCCGAGTCACTCATTTGCACTGTGGGTATATAGCCCCCACCAATTCAAGGCAAAATGGTCTTGTTGTTCGTTCCATTGAGAGTGACATGCACAAACGTTTTGTCTCTAGACACCAGTCTCTCGGTAGGCTCTGCAGTCTCCGAGGCAGACCGGAGGGGCATCGATGGCTGTCGTTAGATCAAAGAGTAACATGACTTGAACATCTTGAAAATTGTAAGAAACTTACACCGCACTGACTTGGAGCAGCTGGTCCCTTATATACAGAGCCCAGGATGGTAGGAGACTGCCTTTGACAGATTGAAACTCATCAGAGACCCAGATTTAGCAGTACGCCAGGGCACCAATGGTTTCAACCTCAGAGTTGGAGTGGCTTCCATGATGGTCATGTTCCTTTGAAAACGACAGTTTCCGATGTTAGAATTTAAGAACTAGCAGTGTTCTCCTGTCCCAAAAATGCGACTTCCGTGTGCCAAAGACCAGCTTGGTCCATCCAAGGCCGTGGCGAAACGAGAAGGTCCAACCCATCCCGTTTGGGCCTCGGCTGGTGGGCCGTGGCACGCTGCAGATGAGTGTGCGAGATTTGAGATTGAAAGAACGACTTTCACTGCGATCCACTGCCGCACTGCCGCACATGTTCTTAATGATAACTATGTTCTTAAATGTGTCTTATTAAATGTTCTTAATGATTACTATGGGAGCTCTGACTTGACAAACACTTTGCTTCATGCTGTGTCACGCTTGCTTCGTTGAGTTTCTACCCTTCCTCCATGGATTCTTCGCAGGCGGAGCTTTACCTCCTCCTCGAGGACTTTCCTGCAAAGGCAGGCAGAGACATGTTCCGCCCGGTTCCACCCGGTTCTCCCTTCATTTGGATAAGCCGCATATACGCCCATGCGGCTTAGATGGAAGCCCTCAGTGAAGCATTTTCCCTCAGAGAGGCCCTGTCCCTGAAGCGGACCAATCAGAGGATGCGGAGCCTCTGGTCAGAATGTTGCAAACCGGGACACAGAGATGAATTCAACAGTTGATCCAAAATGATCGAAATAAGCTTGGCACCACTTGTGTTCCAAGTCTCAAGTGGCCTTGGTTTTCTTGTCGCTGTTTTTCGAAGCTAGAGAACAAGAGAGCCTGCAAAAGACCGTAGGGGTAGGTATATGCTTCAAAATCTTCAAAATGAATCCAGTTCTTGGGGCTGCCTCCTCCATGTGCAACATTGTGCAGCCTTTGTCTTTGTTCCCCCACAATTGACACAGTTTTTGCACGTCTGCGGTTTGTAGATTGTTTGATATTGTTTGTTTCCTTCAAATCGGTGGTTTAGAGAAGCCCTTCAATCTGACCAAACGAGCCCATTGATGATGTTCTGTTTTCGCTTCGACTGCCATGGGCGTTTGATACAGATGTTCTCATAAGCCCAATGGTAAAGGGTCAAGCTTTGCTTCATGAACCCACATTTGGAGCCCATTGATTTGTTTCTCAGGTTGCGGCTCGGCTGCTTTGAGATGCAAACAACAGAAGTAAAGCGTCTCAGGCTGGGTGGGTGAGTATGTGCTTCCAGCGCTTGCGACTTCAATCATACAGGCCCTGACTGTTTGAGTAGTATGCCGGCTGGAATCTGGAACATGCTGGAGCACTGTAGACCTGAAAGACCTTGTGAAAGACTTCGACACAACTACTAGTAATGCATGTGTTACTAGTAGTCATGCCCTTGTTACTAGTAGCGATGCACCTTGTTACTAGTATTCTCTGTCACAGCCGACACATCGACTCTTAGCCCTGTGTCGACCTGCTTTTCACTGGAAGGCCGAACAGTCCATCAGTGAAGGCACCGCTGGCAGCTGCTCCAAAGCCACCAGCGCCTGGCCCAAAGCCAAAGCCCCCAGTGCCCAAGGTGGATGTGGAAGCAGCCCAGCTTGCCAAGGACTGCAGTTGATTAGCGATGTGCGATGTGATTTAGACGAACCCAAACACACTGTGAAAGGGTATAAGACAATGTCAGAAGTGTGATGTGAGTGCGAATGTCGACAATCACAGACTCACTCCTTACGCGCTTTTGTGACATTGTTGATGCAGCAGAGCCGCAGGAGCAAACCCAACGCCGTGAGCGGGAGTACTTCAAGCCTTATATAGGCGATAGATTAAATTCATTGGTTCCTTGTTTGGGCTGCAGCTCACATCTAAGGCATTTTGTAGGAAGGCTGAACCGAAGCATAGAGATTGGATGCACAAGCTTGCTTGCAACACATTTTTCGATGTCCTGACATTTGGCTGCCACTGGCTCATGAAAAGACTTGTGCTTCCTGACCGTTGCAAGCATGGCGCGACCCTTTCTTGTGACCTGGCTCAACCCTGTAAATCGGCGAAATGTATGTGGATCATGTTCTCTTGTCAAGCCGAAGGTTCCTGTGAGTTTCTCAACTTCCCACGGTGGAATGAAGTTGCTGTGCTGGTCAGCAAGCTAAGAGTTCACCAGTTCACGAGTTCCAACATAATTAAAGCATGTGCGCACGTGCCAGACCTGGATTCTATATTTTTTGTGACGTTTTGAGGTTGTGTTGCTGGCCCATCTCTCCAGAAGCTATGCAGAGGTTCAGGGGGAGGCCGGAGAAGCTTTGATGGGGTCAAATGGTGAGGGTGTGAAACCCTGCTTTCGGAGCATCACACTCTTTTCCAAAGAGCGTTGTGAACCCAGCTGCAGAGCCCAGCAACGTCAGATGGTGCAGGTGGACGTTGCAACATTTGGCATGTTCCTGCTGGACGTGCCACAAGAAGAGCGAAAAGGCGTTAAACCACACACTGGTGGGCGTGATGATTGCAGAAGCATTACGTAATTCGGTCTGTATGAATATGTTCAGCATGAAGTGTAGTAGTGAATATATAATATGAAAAAATATATCTAATATCCATGGAAGAGTCATTGCACAACTGACCATCCTGTTAACCAGTTTCTGTTGGGCGTACTGTGGTCAGAGCTGCAAAAGAGGCGTCGGACGCTCCTGGCGGTCCTTGCGTCTTCGGAGTGCCCAAGTGGTTCCGGGTGTGGGGAGGCCAAGTTGGAAGTCAAGACAGCCATGGAGAGCCTCTTTGGCCTGCTGATTAAACTGGCATGCTGCATAATTATAGATGCTAGGCAGCATCAGTTTCATATATATATATATGATTGTCTCAGTGATTTCACTTATATAACTAGCCCTTGTGATGCACAAGAGTCGCAAGAACGCCCTACCCAGAATTTGGGATTGTAGAGCTGCTTGGGAAACAAGTGATGTCACGATCCCGCCAGCGACATAATATAGTCAATCTTTAGGCTACTAAGTGTAAGCCAATATATTGCACTGTGCTGGCAAAAGAGTGCAGCAGGGTGTTGTGTTTTCAAAGGAGAGAATGAGTTTGTATGAGACCTAAAGCGCTTGGGCCTACCCTGATCCAACCACATGTCGCTTCATGCTTTTGGCAGGTAGGCGTTATGGCACTTGGTGCTTACCGGGCTTACCTTTGGCAAAAGGGCCTAAAGCCGGAGTCAAGGAACCTGCTTCATCAGGAGAGCGCCGTTGTGCAAACAAGATTGAATTGTCAGATTTCATCTCCAATGCAAATCCTTTTGCTGTTGTTGTCCTTTTGTACATGATGCCTACACTCCTACATTGGATCTTCATTGAAGGCCTCTCCACTTTGACATGCCCTGAGTCTCAGGAGGCATCCAGTCCTGCCCCTCCAGCACAACACAGTCCAGTGTGGCCGGAGCCAGTAGTGAAGCCCCGCCGGCCATGGTTTGAGATTGCAGATCCATTCCACATCTCGGGAAGTCTTTATTCTGCTTGCCTTGATGTCAGAATTGCTATTTGATGCAGTCAAATAACATGTGCTTGAAGCATATTACAATATATTACATATGTTTGCATTGCTGCCGTTCCGTGGAAAGCTTGCCATTGTGCATCACATCCTCGCAGGTCACATCCACGCCCGCGCTGGGCATTCTTCCTCGGAGCCTTTGCATTCCTGGCTGTCCTGCCACTTCTTCGCCGTCGAAAGCGTCGCGCTGGTTCCAAGGTGTCATGCCAACATGCTGAAACAACAGACCTGATTGGTTGGCTGTAAGTGTTGACAGGATCGAGGGCAGCCTGTGCCACAAGATTCTTATTTTTTATGCAGAAGTGACGCTAAAAGCACAGTGGCTCTTGCGGAGTAAAGGTGACATGAAATTATGCTTTCTAGGTGAACACTTGTTCCCATGGCCTCAGCTTTGCATGACCGAAAGATGTGAAGTTGTTGGAAGTTTGGATTCATGGTCTACCATTTGATAGTCTTTGGAGGGATTTAGAGTCGTGCTTTGATTGGCGACAAGCCGGCTAGGGCAATGTGTCAAGTCCAGACAGAGTCATTGCTTGCTTGCCTGACGACAAAGTGACTTGGTCTTAAACAGTTTATGTTTTTCTCACGTCTTATTCTTTATGTAGAAATTGCTGTTTGAAACCTAAGAACCAAGTATTCAGGATATATCTATATATTAAAGGTTCTTTGATGTTCTTTGTGTGCGTTTGTTCAATGTATTTCGAAAACTCAGGTTGGAAGCGGGGTGCCCGGAGATGTAAAAGGCTATGAGGGAATCATCGCAAAGAAGGAAGGCTACTGGTCTCTGAGTGGGGCATCGGGAAGATATCGCTTCGACCCTGTGTCTGGATGGCTCACCAGTTTCGATTCAGGCGAGAAGTTTGGATGCTTCATTTGCAAGAAGATCCAACCACATCCTTTGCAGTTTGCAAGTAGCTTCTCCAAAGTCACAAGCCTCAAGATTTTGTCCTCAGAGATCATGACAGAGATCCAGCGGAAGGAGAATGCTGGGGCTCTCTTTGTTTTGCCTTCACAGCTCAATGGCGCCGAATATCCCTCACACACCCATGTCGTGAAAGAAGTTGAGGAATATAAAAGAGACAACACTGGTGGACCCAGGGGGCAGCTTGCAGCACATCCAGCTGCAGCTCAGTTCCTCAGCTGCAACAGGGCTACCGCCTTGTTTTACCAAGACATGGCTCCCCCAAATCATGCAAATGGCTCCTTCGTGATACATTGCCAAGTACTCCTGTTTTTCTTTCACGTCAGAATGCTCACGTGCTGTCAAGGGGATACTTTAGTAGTTGAGCACTTGTGAGTTCGGTTCGTGACGGTTCCGTCAGGTTCATTTTGGACAATGCAGCCAAAGATGGGTGCACTGGTGGCATCAACTCCATTGATGAGATCTTGTTTCAAGTCGGTCCAAACTTTGAATTGGTGAATGGCTATTTGAAGATTCGAGACTTGCCGGACAGCAATGCGGAGGCTGAGACTTTGGGTGTGCTTGAAAGCCATTTGAATACCTTGCGCCCTTTGATCATGGAGGATCTGCCTGCCAAGGGACTGATGCCCGATAAGAAGGCCTTTGCTGATTGCACTCATAAGGTAGGCCTTGTGTACGCATCAGCTGTTCCAGTCGACTCATACATGAATCAGGGAGGCAAGACGGATTTTCAGGCAAAGGTGGCAGAATTGATCCTGGTTGGCCAATACTATGGTGCTTTAAGATATGCAGCGGAAAGTGAGAAAGAGAAGGGACCAGGACGTCCACGGAGAAAGGTGTTTTTGATGCCTTTGGGAGGAGGTGTTTTCAACAACCCATGGGACATCATCGGCAAGAGCATGGCCAAGGCGGTGCAGATGCTCGATGATGATTTGCTGGCATTGCTGGATGTCTCAGCACTTGTGTGGAATCGAAATCCTTCTGAAGAACAAAACCTGAAGCTGATCTTCGGAAAGCTGCGATCTCATCCAGCCAGCAGCCCAGAGCAGCCTAGATTTCCAGAGCCCATTTGGACAGGACATTACTTGACGTGGTTGATCAAACGTTGTCAAACGAGTCAAGGTCTTATTGAGTCAAACGTTACATCCGAAGGATGCATCCAGACGCTTCCAACGGTCCGACCAGACGGTTCCAATCCGTAGACATCACTGTCGTTTGCCTTGTCATCTTCTGCAAATATACGACAATGATATCACAGTCCATGAATACACTGCAAGAGTTGGACCAGAAGAACATATTTGTGCCAAGGAAGGTGTTGAAAGCATGGTGATTCGTTGAGAAATTCTCAAGTCAATGCTTCACGCCTACTGTACTCATGTCTCCTGCTATTGTTGGAAGATCACCCTGAGGTGCCTGGCCTTGGAAAGACCCAGCTATTCAGGTGAGACGAGGGTTACTTCTGGGATGCAGATGTTTTGATGACATGAGGTTTCTTCATGGATGCAAGCTCAATGCTGCTGGCAGGTGTAGAATGGTTTCGTCTTTGATTATAAACGCGCAAGTGTCAGATGCACATTCACTGAATATAGAAATATTTTTGGATCAGCTTACTTTTGCCTGCGTCCAGCTGAAGCAAAGCTTTTTGGGTTATGCTTATCATTCACAGAGTCGAAACCTCGCCACCAAGAACGCAGGATCGCGACGGGACAGCCAGATGAGGACACGGATTACAACGTACCATTCATATGGCCGACATGCGGTGCCGTCACGGCTGACCCGCGTTCGAAGAAATCACAGGTTTGGAAGAAGAGGTTATTGAATATTGTAATTACTGTAATTTATGAACATGCAGAGGGCAGGACCTGTGGGAAGAATTCTGGTGTTGCTGTGATATAGGAGGGAGGGTTCCACTTGACTTGAACCTGACAGTTTCAACTTGTGAGGAGCCAGAGCCTGCTCACTGGAAGCGGATGATGTCTGAAATGTCAGAGGTGTCCGACAGGCTTGTGCATCAAACCTCCGAAATGTCTTGATCTGATCAAGCTTTTTTGAGTATTTTCTCAAGTACACCCCGAGTTGATTTCTTCAAACGCATGTATCTTGCTTGCTAGTGCACCTTCCCAGGCCCTTGATTCTTGAGGAGCAGACTGCCCCTTGCCAGGTTCAGAATATGTTTGGGAAACCGGGAAACCTGAAACAATGTGGTGTAGAACCAAACGAGTTCAGGCAGGAGCTTAGAGGCAAGACACTGAGAGATATTTGAGATTAGTTTATGACTGTTTATTATATAGATCTATTATAGTGGAATTGCATTCGAGCTTGTGCCCAACAATCACTTCGCACATATTGTATTATT